CTCTACACCCAACTCCCCGCCCCGGCCCCCCACCCCCACCCCACAACCACCCCCCTGAGAGGAATGATCCCGAGAAGGTTTTGGAGTAATCCTGTTTAACTTCCTTTAACCGATTCTTTCACAAACTCATTTGCCCACAGGCTGTTTTTTTTTTTTTTTTAATTCATCTAAATCTATTTCACAAAGACACTTTCAGAAATACAACACTGGCCTTGCCTTCTCCCAGCTTCGGGGATATTAAACTTGTTTCTTGAATTTCTTGTGTTCCCTCTAAAATACCAGCCTCCTATTACTACTTATAGTTCACTTCTAGTTGCCTTCAAAATTCAACTCCAGTTACCTCCTCTGGCACACCTTCTCTGTCACCCTACTCAGGCTAATTTAGATTCCCCTCCTCTGTGCCCCCATAGCAATCTATACATATCTTTATCAGAGCACTTAACAACTGACTATATTAGTTGATTTACTTGTTTGCCTTCCCACAATAGATAAACTTAAGCTCTCAAGGGCAGGAAAGATGTTTTTCTTTGACCTTGTATCTTTAATAACTGTGCCTGGCACATGGCAGTCTCTCAATAAATGGTTGTTAGATGCTTTATATATGCAGGTTCCCATATATAGGACTCTATATAGAAACAACACATTTCCAAAATATTTTATTCTAGGAACCACTTCTGATTAATTTGCCATTTTTATAGATGTGTCTATCTTCAGTACAACTGGTCACTTCTTATTGTTACCAAATTAAATAATAGTTTGAGGTTTCTGTTTTGCATCCAAAAATTCTACTACATAGTGATCTGCATGTAATACTTCTAAAAGTATCTAAGTATTTAAGAAGCTGCATCTGTTAACTTTTTCTCAGAGTGATTCATTTCCTATGTGAGTTTGTCTTTGGTAGGCAACTGTTTTATAGAAATCCTTTGCACCCTGGGTTGTCGATGTGTTTCTTCATGGTGGTTTTAAATTGCCTGTGCCAATGGCCCCAGAGTTTCAAGAGTGCCGACTTAGTTTCTATGTTAAATTCTTGGCTTCTGGGGCGGGGGGCGGGGAGCCTGGGTGGCACGGAGCCTGGGTGGCACAATGGGTTAAGCATCCGACCCTTGGTTTCAGCTCAGGTCATGATCTCAGGGTCATGAGATCAAGGCCAGCATTAGGCTCCGCACTCAGCATGGCGTCTGCCTGAGATTCTCTCTCCTTCCTTCTGTCCCTCCCACCGTGCTCTTTCTCTCTCTCAAATAAATAAATAAATCTTTTTTTTTTTAAAGATTTTTATTTAATTTGACAGAGAGACAGCGAGAAAGGGAACACAAGTAGGGGGAGTGGGAGAGGGAGACGCAGGCCTCCTGCTGAGCAGGGAGCCCGACGCGGGACTCGATCCCAGGACCCTGAGATCATGAGCGGAGCTGAAGGCAGACGCTTAACGACTGAGCCACCCAGGCGCCCCTAAATAAATAAATCTTAAAAAAAAAAAATTCTTGGCTTGGGATTTCCACACTATATGTGTAGTAAAAATTTCCCACAGAAGATTTTTCTGTCCCTGCTCAGACCCTTGAATAGGCGCCATCCTTGACATTTTGGGGGGCCATAGACAAAGTACCCTTTTTATGAACTGGGTAGTCTTTTGAGAACTCCAGCTTTATACAGGTTCTTACTTACAGATCCTAGCCTAGTCAGGTCCAAAGCCATGCTTCCTACACCCAGGCATGGCATTAAAATCTGAGCCTCCAGACGCTAACATCTACTCTAGACGTCCTATACCAACCCTGGGCCACTCAAACCATTCTGGCCTTTGGATTCTCTTCATTTTTGTCACCTAGCAGTTCCCTTTCACTTTTCTGAACTCAACTACATTTTCCTACGTTAATAATGGGAAAGGGGTCCTTATAAACCCATCTACCATGTTGCTAGAACCTTTTCCTAAATAAATTTTGAGTCCATTCACTTTTCTCCATCTCTTTTACTACTACCTCTGTGCAAGCCAATGTTCTCTCTCATGCACCCTTCTTTTGCAATGGTGTCCTTACTGGTCATCTCACATCTATTCCCGTCCATCCTTCCCCTGTCCAATTCATATGGAATATTGTACCCAGAGTTTAAAAGCCAGGATTCTAAAAAATGTAAACCAGATCATGTTATCCTTTTGCTTTTTGCATATTTTCTGTATGACCCAGCAATTCTACTCCTACATATATATCCAAAAGAAAGAAAAACATATGTCCACACAAAAACTCGTACATGAATGTTTATAGTAACATTATTCAAAATAGCCAAAAGGTGGAAAGAACCCAAATGTCCACCAACTTAGGAGTGGCAAACAAAATGCAGTATATCCACACAATGGAATAGTGTTTGGCCATTAAAAAGAATAAAGTGCTGATACATGCTACAACATGGATGAACCTTGAAAACATTATTCTAAGTGAAAGAAGTCAGTCACAAAAGACCACATATTGATTCCATTTACATGAAATGTCCAGAATAGGCAACTCTACAGAAACAGAAAATAGATCAGTAGTTGCTGAGGTCTAGGGAATGGGAAGATGGGGTGGGAGTAGGGGGGACAATAATTAAAGGTATGGGATTTCTTTTTAAGATGATGAAAATGTCCTAAAATTGACTGTGGTAATCATTGCACATATCTGTGAATATACCAAAAAATGACTGAACTGTACACCTTAAATTATATGGTATATATAAATTATATCTTTATAAAGCTGTTCAAAAAAAAAAAAATGCTTCCAGTAGCTCATCATGGTTCTTAACATATATATCCAAAATCTTTGTCTTCAGCTGTAAGACTTTGTATGATATAGCTCCTATTTATTCCTCAAGCCTCACCTTAGACTGCTCTTTCCCTAGCTCTCTACCCCAGAGCCACAACATCTTCTCTCAAATTCTCCAAAGGATCAAGCACCTTCCCACCTTAGTGGCTTTTCAACAGCCATATTTTCTGCCAGAAATGCTTATCCCCTTTTCCTAGCTATTATTTGTCCACAAGAGGATCATACCCTTAAGATAACCTTCTGCAGGAGAAGGGAAGTCTTCTGTAGGCAGATCTTCTGTCATAACAACTCACACTACTTCTTCATAGTATATATCACAATTATTTAGTGTTTGTTTTTCTTCACTATCACATACATTCCCCGAGGGCTGAGATTGTTTTCCTTGTTCACTGCTGTATTACCTGGGTTCATCATAGTACTTTGCAATGGCAAATGTTCAAATATTTTGAAAAGAATGAATGCTAGTGACTGAGTCCAACAGCTCTTTATGTAATACCTTCTTATTTATTTCTCTTGTGCCATTACCCTATTTAACTTGTCTAAGATCATTTATTATCTAATAAATATCTAATATCCCCATTTATTATCTTGTGCCATCCTAAAAATTCACTTATCTTGATACACCAAATTCACATAATTCAGTGATATTTTGATTTAATTCTTCTTATATTTGCTGCTTCTTGAGGAATTATGTCCTAGTGAGAATACACGGTACACAGTATATAATCAATAACTATTTGTGGCTTAAGTAAAACTTCTAAAACAAAATTAAAATCTGTAGCAGGTGCTATCTTATTGTTCATAGGTTATAAAAATCCTAGAAGACAGTAACTGTCTCTCTAGGTTTCTCTAAATAATGGTGCATGCAATTAAATATTTAATAATGCAGTTTGATAAAAAGCCTGATTTACACATCCTTACAGGGATCATAAGCTTAATGATGAATTTAACTCATTTTACTTGTCTCAGCCCAGAAGGAATTTTTTAAAGGGAGTTTTTTTCAGCTAATATTCAGAAAATATTACTTTTGCATTTAGTTCCTAGATGAAACTAATAATACCTAAATTCCATCTGAGCTATTAAATATATAAACATTAAATATTCAAGATCAATTTATTAAAATTTCCTTGGCTGGAAACCAATGAAAAGATGATGCTCTGCAACCTGTTAGCCCAGAAAACTGACTTTCTTCTATTTTTATACAAAGAAATGAAAAAAGAAAGGAAGGAAAAGAAAGGAAGAAAAAACCACAATTTTTCAACTCACTTAACATCTCCCTTCCACTTCTCAAAATTTTAATTTTAGAACTGTCTTTATAATAAACAAACATCTAAAAAGTTCAACTCGTTGTATCTTGTAGATGATAAGACTTCTTGACTTATTACACATACATACACACTCACAAACATAAAATCTTCTTCCTTTGGATAGTCAAAAGAAAATGAAGCCAAACTGAAATCTAAATTTTGATAAGATTTCATTTCCTTTTATAGTCTTAAAAAAGGGATAAGTATGGCTTCAGTTTTTAAGTAGATCTGAAACAGCCAAATGGAGTGCATTCTATTTTTTACACTTTTTCAAGTGGGAGAAAATGTCCCATTCTTCTTGGTCACATCTTGGAACATCTCCTAATAATGACAATCAAAAAGTTCTTCTTAGCTTCTACCTTAAATCTCTCCTGTGCCAATTCATGACTGCTCTCTCATAATTTTTCTCTAAAGAAACTGTACAGTAACTAGTCACTATCCTTCTACCATATCATCATATACTATTCAGTTCTTTTTCCGGTATTCTTAAATTAATTAAAATGATATCCTAGCTTTATTTCTCTGAGCCTTTTTCATGATACTGCTTTTCTTTCCTGCCAGAGAAATCTTCACGGACTCCTCAGAACAAAAGAAAAGATCCTTCTCTGTGCTTCAGGTTCTCCATCACAAAATGGGGAAATAATGCCTGATCCTGATTTCTTTTATAAGACAAATAGAAAAAAGATATGCCTATATTCATAACAGAATAAGTATCTATGTTAAATATTATCAGAAATAATTAAGATCTCTGTCAAAAATCTCCCAGAGGCAAAATAGAAAACCCAAACTGTAATATAAAGATCTACTTTCATAAATGTATCTGGGATTGGGGGAAAGACTTCACACCCACTCCTTTATCTCCTACCTCAAAGCAGAACCCCGCAAATGAAATCAGTATAGAACATACCTCCTCCTGTCCCTGGCTTCCACAGAGGAGTCTGTTCCAGGAGTGGAGAGCAGAGTGGCAGTTGTAACCCCATTGGCAGTGTTAGGTGGAGGTCGATTAGTGATCACACAGAGCGGGGTGCTAGAAGAGACATTGTCTGCTGTTTTCTCTGCTGTTGAGTCAGCCTGGGATTTGTAAGGAGTCCTGAAATCAAAAACACAGACACACAAAAGCACAAGCAGAAAGAGAATGGTTAAGCATGCTACACAACAAAGCACTAGCACACAGACAGAGGGTTCGAGGTAAGTTTAACTAGAGAATCTTCTTGCTCCACTTTTGTTGGCTGGTTGACTGGTTTTTTAAATTCTGAGCTCTTGATTCTTACAACAGTATGATTATACATTTAGTTTGATATCCTCTGCCCAAAGAGTTATATTTCATGAAAAAATTTTTTTTTTGCTTGAGATTAAAAATTTTTTTTAAAATGAGCTATGGCACAAGGAAGATAGTAACATATGCAAGAATGCTTTAAATGACTCCTGAGCACCATCTGGTCTCCACACACACACACAGAGGCAGGGCCTCTCCACACACATGAAAACAACGCTAAAGTCACTTACGATATTATTCTCCACCTGCCCCTTAATTCTTGGCAGTGAGAGTCTTTGGTAGTCCTCAGCCTGGATTAGATGACCATCTTCTTGGATTCCAGAGATATTTGATAAATACAACCTCATATGTTTACTTCTTTCCCACCTAGCTCAGCAACTGCTCTCTTTCTATTTAACCAAATGCCTGATAGCCTGTATTCTTAAGTGCATACATGAGCAACAGAAACAAAAACTAGTAAGATTCTATATGTAACCTTAACTGCAGACTTTCCAACAGCAAGCTGTATAATTAAGCTCATTTACATGAAAACAAGATCTTTGTTTCTTAACAAAGAGTTGAGAGCAACCATTGGCTCTCCACCCAAAAAGCTATCATTTGTGATGTCACAGCTTGTTGCTGGGGTAACAGAGATCCAAAATTGATATTCACAGAGATGGGAAAAGCAATGAAGATAAGGAATGCTAAAAATCTGTTTGTTTTTTTTTCACCTACTCACAATTACCAGAAATGCTTATAAGTAGCTATAAGCTCATTTTCAAATAATCACATCATTAGAATAAGCTTGAAAGCAATAATCAGATTGTAAAACATCTAAATATGGTACCTAGATGCAATTATAAATATAGAACAGTTTTGAAGTGGTATCTAAAAAACACAAGCCACTTCTCCAGACGCAATTAATGACTCAGAAAAAAGGTGAAATTAAATTCCTCAGACTTATAAAATGTATGAGTCTATAGGACACATGAATAAAATTAGCCAGAACCAAACTATAAAAAATTGGTGGCTGGGTGACAGACATTGGGGAGGGTATGTGCTATGGTGAGCGCTGTGAATTGTGTAAGACTGCTGAATCACAGACCTGTACCTCTGAAACAAATAATACATTATATGTTAAAAAAAAAAAAAAGAAAAGAAAAAGATAGAAGGAGGGGAAGAATGAAGGGGGGGAAATCAGAGGGGGAGATGAACCATGAGAGACTATGGACTCTGAGAAACAAACTGAGGGTTCTAGAGGGGAGGGGGGTGGGGGGATGGGCACGTACTGCATGGAGCACTGGGTGTTATACGCAAACAATGAATTATGGAACACTACATCAAAAACTAATGATGTAATGTATGGTGATTAACATAACATAAAAAAACAACAAAAAAAAACCTTACCTGACATTCTTTTTAGGTTAATAACATGTTTTGTTCTCCCTGAGATTTTTTCTGCTGTGGAAATGCCAAGGGTTTTTATTTTATTGAATTACAGAATAGAACTTGTACTATTATTTGGATATGTGGTATAATTTTATAAGTAGAATGTTAAGAGCAGAATAGGAAGGGACGCCTGGGTGGCTCAGCTGGTTAAGCGTCTGCCTTCAGCTCAGGTTATGATCCCAGGGTCCTGGGATTGAGTCCCACATTGGGCTCCCTGCTCAGCCGGAAGTCTGCTTCTCCCTCTGCCTCTGCTCCCCCTGCTTATGCTCTCTCTCTCTAATAAATAAATAAAATCTTAAAAAAAAAATAGGAAAAGCTGCAGAGCAGGGGTCAGAGGCTCTGGAACCATGTGGGGCTACATTTCAGCCAAGTTAACCTCTCTAGTCTCTTCATCTGTAAAACGGGAATAATGATACCTTAAAATGCAGGGGTCTTGTGATAACTAAATAAAATAATGTATGAAGAACATCAGTATTGAGCTCAGAATAAAACACAAGCTCAGTGGAAACAAAACAGTGAAATAGGATCTCTGACATGGACAAATCTAGGTTCAAACCCTGCCTCAGTTCCTTACTAGATATGTGACCTTGGGCAGATGATTAAGTTTTGGGTCTCAGTTTCTACATCCATAAAATAAAAATGGTACTTCATACGCTGGAGGCCTCTTTATAAACAATATATGTGTGCCTGAGATAGCGAGTTGCCCAGCCTATATTCATTTTCCTTTTCTTCCTAACAGAACCTGTAAATTATTGAGGGCAGCATTGCACCTAGTTAAAAATTCACATTTTCCAAAGTCTCCCTGGCTGCTAGAGGTAGCCAGTGAGGCATAAGTAGAAAATTAGTGCTTTGGGGGAAAACCTCAGTTCAGAGGCCTTCTCTCTTTTTGTATTTCCCCCTTTCTTTCTTCTTCCTGCCTAGAATGCAGTCATGTCAGCTAGAGCTTCAGCAGCTATTTTCTGTCATGAGGCAACCTGTGGAAATGGAAGCATGATCTAAGGATTGTGAGGCAGAAAGACAGAAGGATCCAGGATTCTTTAAGGACTTTGAAGCTGTGGTGCCAGCCCTGCCTATTTCTGGACTTTCTTAAGTGAGAGGAAAAAATAAATAAACCTTTATCATATTTTAGCCTCAATTATTTAGCTTTACTGTTACATGTGAGTAAACCAATTGCTCATGTAATTTTTGTAAGTATCTAAGCCAATGCTTGGCACATGATAGGGTTCAACAAATGGCAGCGTTACTATTTTTCCCTAGTCTCAGCTCTTAATACTTAAGCAAGTAACCTGTGTTTCAGTTTCTTCATCTATGGTATAATATTTACTATGTCTGTGCAGATGAATTATTATGAGGACCTAATAAATTTCTACATAATTATCAGTATTATTATTAATAATCCATCTTAAGCCTATCCCTCCTGGAACAAATGATCACCACTTATTTTAAGGAAAGAAATCTAATAAATGGACAAAAATCAATCAAGTACTACCATCAACAGTGTTCTTGCAGCAACAAGCAACACTATCATCATTAATGTTTTTCATTTTCTTTGTGTCAGTTCTAGAAACAAGCCCTCAAAAAGAAGTCCCTTTGTCATACCCCAAAGTAAAAGGGTCTCTGCGCACACATACAGGGTTGAAAGCTATAGCCAAAACCACAGCTGAAGTCCTATCGTGCTTTCACGATGAAGCCCCGGACAGGCTACCCCCATGCTACCCCTTAGGCAGACTGGACACCACGGCCCCAAGAATACCACAAATCTAGACAAATTTATATAAACATAAATCTCTTCCCTCCCGTGTGTTTCCAGCAAAATGCTCTCATTGGCTGGGAATTTTCAGAAAGCTATAGGAAGCTTTTGGAACAAGAGCTGGCTTTTCTTCTGATTTGGGTTTGTATGCCATCCTCTGAAAAAAAGAGTAAGTAGAAGAGATTCCTACTCACTGGGAAATTAATGTAAGTGAAGTGTGGGGATATTTTTAATATGTGCTTTCCCATAATAGGATGAGTCCCTTACATAGTAATCACACAAAAGCGGTCATTTTAAGTTGATGCCTAAACACCAAGTACCAAGATATATACCCTATGATTTTTCAATGAGCAACTGCTGAGTGGCTAATACAAGTCCAAACAAAACCTCCTCGTTAAACCATGGACATTTTCACAAGAATTCAAACTTGCTTCCCCAGTGCCAAAGTCTCTTTGGTTTGAATCTCATATGTGCATCCAGAGGCATGAGTTTTGATGACTGTAACTCAAATGGCCCCAAGAAGCCTTACCTGCCATGGTGTGCAGATGCAGTAGTGTTTGCACTGATTGGTGCAGGGCAAGAAGAGGCAGGTTGCCACTTGTTGCCCCGAGAGGTAGATGAACCAATGGTAATGGGTGAGGTAGCAGATGAATTGCGATTGGCTGAAATGTAGGGACTTGTGGGGTCACTACTTCTACCAAAGGAAACACTGCAAAACAGCACACAGTCACTTTCTTCAGGACATGCTGCTCACCCACCATTTCCCAGCACCACCTTCCCCCCCAGATTGTGCATTTAAAAGGAATGTAGATCAAAGAGAGGGTATGGCAACTGGGAAGTGGAGTGAGTGATCAACTCCAGCTAGAGCTGGGTCACCGGCAGCAAGCAGGCATCTGTCAATCATCCGAAAGAGTGAAGGAACATGGAGGAGAGATGATAGGCAATAAGAGAAAGCAGAAGAATAGTATATAGGAACAGAATAGGGGCTAAGAAATATTAGCAAATAGAATAATTTTATTAGAAAAAGTAATTCCCAACAAACCCCAAGGCAAAAAAATCATGCAACCCCAAATGTCTACCTGATACAGAAGTAGCACTGCAGAAGCTAAAGTAAGACCAAGAATTTGGAGGTTTTGGAGTAGAAATTTAAAATTAAAGAGTGGAGAAGAATAAAAAAGCTCTGTGGAAAAAAAAAATGTCTGAGAACTGTGGTTATTTAGCCTAGTCTTGGGAGGATTCAAAGTTTTAAGTCTAGAAAATAATATTGCATGGGCGGCAGAAGGCAACTTTCCTTTGTTTCAAATGAAGGTAAGTAAGAACCATCTCAATTGAGGCAAAAAATTATTTGGATTAGAATTTTAAAAAAACCATTTTTACTATTATAATAATGAGACACTAGCAGGGGTGACCAAAACAAGCTTTGAAGCCTTTTACTTTAAGATGCATTTTACTGGGACACAGGAAAGGAATTTCTGCCTAAGGACAAGAGATGAACTAGAAAATGGAAAGTATGCTGAGGCCCGGCGGAGCCCAAGAGAGCCAAATGTCTTCTCGCATTTTCTTTTTTAAATAGTGATAGCATACAATTCCCTTTGGAAAAGATCATAAAATGAGATTTTGTATAATCAAAAAATGCTTTAAGGGTGACATAAGTTTGGAAATCCAAAGCATGAAGCAAGTTGTGGATCTTCTTTCAAAAAGCACTCACATAATTAAGCAAGCTTTCCACCCTAAATAGAAGCATTCCCTTTCTCCTCTGTTTACCATAATTGTGCCAACTGTACCTATCTCTCCAGATGCTACTCACTCAACCCATTTGTTAATGATTTGGATCACGAAAAAGAACAACCCCACCACAATGTAACAACATGCTTAGAAATTAAATGCAGCTTTCTCTCTTTCCTAGTACTAGAACGTTATTTTCTTAGAAAAGTTTTCTTGGTCTTGGATGCAACCACAAGGAGTAGTGATGTATAGACAGACTAAGACCTTAGTCCTGAAGACAAATAAGTGATAGCTTCATTAAGCCAAAAACACTGAATTTGTATATATAATGAAGCTTCCAGTGAGAACGCTGAATTATCTCTGCAGAACTGAAGACCATCAAAAGGCTACATTGGCTGTTTGTTTTATAGCTTACTAGTTCCCATGTTCTGATATTAACTAGTTGACAAGATTCCTCTAATCAAGTGGAAATAAGTTTTGAACCCAAACACATAGTTTATGGCAAAAGGCTGTTTCTTGGGCAGCCAACCAATCCTATAAGACCTAATGATGAAGCCCATGGCATGAAGAGGCAGTTGGAGGGGTTGAGTAAATAAAAGTGAAGAAAGAATTCAAAGTAAGAAATGAGAATCAGACTCTTGACATCAGCAGCAAAGTTCAAATTAAAATACTAATTAAGTATATCTTATAGTTTAATGGCTCTGGCAAAGGTGCTTTGCTTGCTGGCTGGTACATGGCAAAGAAAATAATTGCAGAAAAGAGAATACAGATGAGAAAAGGGGAAGGAAACCCATGTACCTTCTCTGCACCAAACTTGCGAGTTTCACATCTTGATGGATCTGAGGGCCATTAAAGTCATAAAAAAAAAAAAAAACTCAAGTCCCTAAATTAACAGGCTTCAATATGAAACTTCTTTAATGCAATTCAAAACTGTCCCCGTTACCCACCCCCCTCACCACCCTATAGGGTCCCTCCCTTCCTCCCCATAAAAATGTAACTTGAGATGGGAACTACTCTAGTTTTAGAAAAAGGAAAGCTAGCTACTGGACAAAGGTGATTTAAATTCAGTCCTGCTCAGGGATTACTAGAAGTCACTTCCAGTTGAAGATTTTAATAGGACTGAGAGGAGAGAGTATAAATTCAGATCTGTCTGTGGTGAGAATTTGGAATTAGCTTACTTTAATTCAGTTAGGAAAATAAATTAATGTTAATTTAAAATTAGTCAAGATGTTACTCCCAAGAAATCTAAAAGTAATTCATTTTTTGATTCATTTTCGTGGTGCTAATTGGATATAAAACAGCATGCAATTATTACCCATACACCCATGACCAGAGTGAAGAAAAATCATCTCCCACCCCATGGAACCTGGTACCTTTTCAAGTAGGTTGATACATAGGTAGAAGGAGCAACTGTCTGTGGAGTTTCACTTCCCTTTGCTTCATCCCTCCACAGCTGCCGTGTATACGAACCACTCCTCACTAGATTAACAGCTGATTCTCTGTAGAGGCATGAAAGAAAAATAAAACAAAGCACTGATTCCTACCACCAGTTTTGTCCACGATACAATGCAAACTGGGAGGGGTGCCTGGGAGGCTCAGTTGGTTAAGCATCTGCCTTTGGCTCAGGTCATGATCTCAGGGTCCTAGAATCAAGCCCCACATCAGGCTCCCTGCTCAGCGGGGAGTCTGCTTCTCCCTCGGTGGGGGGGGGGGGGGGGGCGGGGGGGGGTGTTGGGAGAGAAGAGCCAGGGACAGAAACTGTAATATGATGGCTAAAGAAATAGACACACTTTTCAAGTGATACTTGGTTTTATATAAACCTGTTTTCTGTATACATAGAGAATGGGTCAAGTATTACTACTGCCTGCTTTCTTTTATCAACTTCAAAGCCAACTAACTTCAACAGGTACCAAATCCTTATATCAAAGGTCTCCAATTCTTTGGTAATGAGAACTCACTTTTGTTTCTCCTTTAAAGGGCTTTACAAAGCCAACAGGTTGTTCATAAGTAAGCAGAGAAGAGGATGATGGGGAAGATGAGGAAGTCTGTCACAAGGGAAAGAGGTAACTAGCACAGAGGAGGAAAAGAGAAGAACCTGCTAGAAGTCTACTTAGTGTTATAAATAAAAATCGTCCAGGAAAGGGCTGTAGTAGGATTTCTAATTCACAAATGTTCACTCAGGGCCTTTGCAACCAAAGCTGCGGCTCTCCAGAGCAGTCCTTCTCAAACTTCAATGTGCATTTGAATGACCTAGAGAATTTTTGTTAAAACCCAAGTTCTAATTCAGCAGGTCTGAGGTGGGGCCTGAGATTCTGCATTTTTAACATGCTTCCAGGTGAAACCAATGCTGCTGGTTGGGAAGACCACACCTTAAAAAGCAAGGTTCTCGATCAGGTTCTGTTCTGAGATGCAGCAATACCTCAAAATCCTCACATTCATTTTAACTGATGAGGAAGACTTGAAATTTTATGTACATACACATTAGAAGTTGATCACTAATTAAATAACAATACCTTTAGTGTTTACCATGGAATAGGTCGTGTGCTAGGCACTAGGGGTCCCTGAGAAAACAGACATAGACCCTACCTTTACAGAGCCTGCTGGTGTACTAAAACAAATTCACCCTTGGAAGGGCTGGGGAAGACTTCCTAAAGACAGTAAGACCCAAGCTGAAGTGAGAGCCTGAGGGGCGAAGGGCAAAGCAAGAGAGCAAGGGCTGGGAGGAGCTCTAAGCAGAAGGAATAAACAATTCATAATGTGCTAAGGGCACCTGCGGAGAGATGGCTGCAGAGCGATGGCCAAGGCATCACTATGCCTAGGAAAGTTACAGAGGACCATCTTTTGGACTGCATTAGGATTACCTGTTCTCCTTTTCTTCAATGTCACTCGTGCTGCTGAGCTTCCGGGGCGCTAGTGAACTAAAATAGCTTTTGTTTTCTCTCTCCTGTAAAATCAAAACAAGTAAAACACAGAGAAGGTACAATACTGACACGGTGTAACATTCTGGGTAAAAAAAGCAGAGATCAATACACCTGTATCATCTTATTTCTAGATCCAATACCAATTCTGGTTTGAGTGGTATTACAAAAGGTTACCTTTCAAAGGCTAATTCCTACCTCTCCTCCATTAAAAGACCAATATACCGGGAAATAATTCTCATGGGAAAGGCCAAAACGATCAAAAAAGGAAAACAGCAGCACAAATTTCACAAAGCCAACAGCCCTGCCAAGAGAGATGGAGACTTTGAAAAGCCACAAACAGAAAGCTCCACTCTAAAGTTCTTAATGAAATAAGCCTTATTTCTTCCCCAGCCTATCTTCTCTTTGAAATGCAGCTTCATGCACAACAAATATGCTGCAGAATTCATCCAACCAATATGACTCATCTCCTTGAGGAGTCTCCAGAAACAATATTGAGCAGGGGACTAAGGTTACAGGGCAGACCTGACCCCAGAGAAGAGCATCAGGTAAGCCCTAGAAAATCTGGAACCAAAAGTTAAGAAATAAAAATGCACTGATCTTGGATGATTATGTGGATGAGCTGTTATACATCTAGTAATGAAAGAAATAAGGCATTTAAACATTTTTTTCTAAGTGCTAATTTGCCTGAGCTTCATTAGGATTGAAAGTCCGGCTAAGGAACTTTGCTTCCAAACACTGAAACAATAAATTACTGGTATTGGTTCAAGGGAACCTTAGGCCATGTCCAAATTTTCATGTTTCTGACTAAATTTATTTTATTTTATTTTATTATTTATTTGCCCTACGTAAGGAGGGTAAGGAAGAATGAACATAAGATATGCCAAAAGATAAAAGGTTTTTCTTTTTTGGCCGAGTAATAATAGCAAGCAAATAGCTAACTGATTAAACTATCAATGTGCCATCTCCCTTTAAAGACTTTGTACTTCCAGAATCAAATCAGGGACTAGAACACACTTTCATTTGCTCCTGAGACTGAATTTTCACAGACGGGAACTGCCCAGGAACTCCCCCGTACCCTGCCTAAACTGCACCTTATCTTTGTTGTCCAGCAGAGCAGAAATCCGAGGGCTTGATGATGACCGGTAGATAGAAGAGCCTCGGTCCCTTAGAGCTTCCCTAGAATTGGCCACCTCACTCAGCATGTTCTGGCTGCCAGTTTTTCTGAGTCCCAGTCTCCACGAAGAAGGAGATTCATCTTTGGGCTCTTCCGGCTTATTAAAAAGGCTGGAGGAGAACTATGAGGGAAGAAGCAAAGAAAAGAAAAGAAAAGGGAAAAAAAAAAAAGGTCCTGATGATTCTTTTCAGCCTATTTGCCTTTTCCCACACTGACTAAGTTCAGTGAGGCAACATAAGGCAGTACAAGAACAAATACATGGCAGGCTTTCTGCCAATGTTCCCTTCCTCACCTGGCAGATGCTAATAACCGCTCAAGACTGCCCTTCTCCCTGAGCCAGAAATAGTCTCAGATTCTTAACAGTGCTCCTACTGACAGAGTTGCTCTCTGAGAAATTAAACACTATTTGCTCTCTTAGCAATGAGTACTGACCTAGAACACCAGGAGATCCACGTTCTAGTAAAAATATCTTCTCTTGCTTGACTCACTGTGTAACTATAAATGGGACATTTTACTTCTCTAGGTCTCAACATACTCACCTGTAAAATGGTGATAATGAGCTTAATTCCTCCTTATAATATGTGGAGACTAGAAAACACAATGAGCCAATGTATAAGTATGTTTTAAGGTACTGTGATAAGACTGTGGTAAGCTGACTTAAGTTAATACTAATAAAAATACTAAAACTCACTCCATTCAAATTCTAATTGCTTATTTCAAGAAAATAGTTTATTTGATCTTGAGCAGCAGTTCCAAGTGTTTCAGATTTCACCGAGCAGCAAAATTAAAAAAGAAGAAAAATGGTAGAAGTCATAGAGTTGCCATCTTTTAGATTTTGCCAGGAGAACATCTTTCAAAAACTTGCTTACCATTTTCAACACTATCATTTCATTAAAAAAAGAAAAACATTTTAACCTCAGAAAAGAAAGCTTTCTGGAAAGCTTACATAACTTACATAACTGCCATAAACCACAGAAAACATGATAGACCAGTGTTAACCAACAAACACCAGTCTGAAGTAACTGGTCTTTAGAACTGCAGTCAACAGTCCATTCCTGGGATCTGAGGGACCTCTGTAAGATGGCTTTGGTCTTACTCCAGTTATCAGGCCACCTTTACTGCCTGGTATAGTGAAAATGCAATAAACACTAAATCACTCGTCTCCAGCTCACATTCAGATTTTCTCTTTTAATTAGTTATCTGAATATATATATTTATGTACTCCTTCCAGCTGTAGAGGCTCAATCATGTCAGCTCTTTATAAGCCACCCTGACTCTGAGAGTCACACACACACTCTCTCTCTTTCAAAAATAAAACAAAAAAATAAAATAAAAGAAATTAAAAGAAAGCCAGAAGTCCAGTCACACCTAGAAGCAGTGGGAGTATGTGAGGTACAGCTAAATGCCGGAGTGAGGAGTGAGGTCTGTGTCCTATCTGAGACATCTCTACAGATTCAAAGTGATGCTCTTGGGAATAAATAAGCAGCCAGGGCTTTGTTTCCTCATCTCCACAATGATACCATAATCCTGTCTTTTTAATTCATGAGGCACTAAGAAGATCAGTAAGTTAGTATCTATAAAACCATGGAGTTTTTTCAACAGCTTTCTTCCCAAGAACTCATTATCAATTCTTAATCTCAAAACTAATTGTATCCTTTGTAGAGCAAAGTCATTATTCAACTCTGTCTCACTGACTAGAAGCCTATAGCTTCTCAGAAGCCTGGGCCAAACTGCAGGAGGAGGTGTCTCTGGTACCTCAGCAAGTTCTTTCTACCTCTGCTCTCTACTCATTATGAGTACTACCAAGACTTTACTTATAAAAGTAAAATTTTAAACAAGATGTAAAAAAAAAAAGGACATAAGTCATCAAATCAATTAATACTGAATGCTAGGGGCGCCTGGGTGGCTCAGTCTTTAAATGTCTGCCTTCAGCTCAGGTCATGATCCCAGGGTCCTGGGATCGAGCCCCCCATTGGGCTCCCTGCTCTGCGGGAAGCCTGCTTCTCCCTCTCCCATTCCCCCTGTTGGTGTTCCCTCTCTCGCTGTCTCTCTCTCTGTCAAATAAATAAATAAAATCTTTAAAAAAAAAAATACTGAATGCTAGCTATCTTCCTAACCCAGTCTGAGCTTTATATATACTTACCTACTTAGCCGTAGATACGAAGAAAATAAGCAATGGACAAAATTCTTTGGTCCCAGATCACTATATCCTATGTTATCTAAACACATTGTACCCAAATTTGTTTGGTGATGGATTTATAGCTTTTGCAGGCAATGTTATAAAAGCAATGTTTGTGCACAACCCCGCCCCCATCCATACCTTGAAGTTCTAATCCCCATTGTGACTATAATATTTGGCGGTAAGGTGGCTGTCTGCAAACTAGGAAGAGATTCCTCACTAGGAACTGACTCAGCTAGCCCCGTGTGACACAGTTAGTCCCGTGATCTTGGATAGCCCAGCCTCCGGAATTGGGAGAAATAAATTTCTGTTGTTTAAAGCCACCTGGTTGGTGGTATTTTGTTATGGCAGCCTAAGCTGACTAGGACAGGCAAGATGTATCTGTATTATCTTGCAAGAATGTATCTTTAAGGACTTTCAAACTGTATATAACCATAGTAGGAGAAATATAATATTCAAATTAGTTCCAAAATACTCACTCTCCTAGCTGAAGAAGCAGAGAAGGTATTCTGAGCCGGTGGTGGTATCTGTTCCGTGATAATACTCTTGCTTTCAGAGTTGGAATGGTTGACAATGGCTTCTGGCTTTTTATCTATTATTTAAGACAAGAGAAGCAACAAGTGCAAGTATGAAAACCTTATCTGTGTGTATGCATGTACTTTTCTGCTAACAGAAAAGGTTTACCCATATCAAAACAGATTATTAGGGCCATGTAATGCTTGGACTCAAACTAAAATGAAATCTCTAGCAAAGTTGCCAAAAGGAAATAAACTCAATGGTAAAATTCCTTTCTTGGTAGGTTCCAATTCCCACATATGTAACTGAAAACTTTCTCCACATTATGTATCATATATAAAATTTGTCAGTAAGTACGTAATAAGAATCTACTCTGTTTTGGGATATTGGGCAGGAAAAACCAGATAGATCTTGCTTTCTAGGTAATTATAATCAAGACATGAGATAAGATGCATAATGATAATAGTAACAATAGAAGATCATATATAAGTTAGGTGCTAAATTGGGTGAGTTGGATCAACGGGGCTTTATGAGTTCAGAGTAAATCCTCTGAGGGAGGAAACAACAAGGAAAGATGCCATAGAGAAAATTGGAAGACAAATACCGACTGGCAGGAGGAAGAAAGGGTATGAGTAATGAATCAGAAATCAAAATATACACATCTGTTGGTCAGTAAATTTAAGTCTAAGCAGGCCTAATTTAAGCAGGCCTAATTAAAGTAATGAATATTCTTGGGATTACAATAGGAAATAAAGGTAGAAAGGATTACAGAGGATATTGTGAGTTAAACTACAGAAGTGTAGTAGGTAAACCCTCTTAATAAATAACAGTAGTCCATGTTATAGGGCCATCGAGTGGAAACCCCGTCTGTCTCGTTCACTGCTACGTCAGTGCCTGCACCTAGTAGGTGTGGTGGGGCCTTCTGATCTATGTACTCTGGAAACAGGGCCCCAGAGTAATCCACCTATGAATTACATGACAAATTTATGCCACGTTTTAGCTGTGTGACACTGGGCAAAATTTACTTAACATATATGAACCTCTCTTTTCTCACTGATTAATCAGGAATTTTAATTCTTACCAAGAGTTGCTATAAAGTCTAGAGATAATGTTTTTAAATTGCATCATTCAATGTCTGGCCATAATAAGTCCCTAGTAAACAGTAATTTATTATTAATGTTATTTCTTGTGGTTATTATGAATATTCAAGGCATTCTTTCAATATTATCTGAATATTTCTAACCCCAAGAAGTATACCTTACTACCAAATGTGACAGATCATTATAGTAAGAACTCCCAATGAATCTATACCCCTGTGTAGTGGCCTCTCAGATTGACTCTGGGCTTGGCAATGTGACTCTCTATGGCCACTGGGATATTAGTAAAGTGACACAAGGAGAGGCTTGGAAAGTGCTTGTGCACTGAACCTTGCCCTCTCGTCTTGTGGAATCCAGCCGCCGTGTGAAGAAGCAGGGGAGAGTCCGCTTGATGAACACGGCCCACTTGCCTCAAACATCCTAACCAACTACCAGAAAGGTGAGTAAGGCCATCTGGGACCAGCCAGCCCCCAGCTGACTTACCAACTGACCACTAACACGTGAGTAAGCCCAGTATTACCACACGGAGAAAAGAAAAGCCATCCCAGTGAAGCCCTTCCCAAATTGCCAACCCATAGAATTGGGTTTATATAAATAGTTGCTTTAAGCACCACTAAATTTGAGGATGGCTTGTTATTTAGCAATAGATAACTAATATACCAAATGTTTAAGTCAAATAAATAAAAGAAAGGGGAAAACAGAAATCCAAATCAAACTGTTTACATTCACCCCAAAAGAGAATTAGTATTCTTCACAACTACATTTATATGTAAGACATATGAAAACTGTCATTTTATGAGGTTGTATCTGTGAATCTTTAAAAACAGGATAAATGCATTCAACAAATACTTGTTCAGTACATACATAATGTGTCGGGCATCACTTGGAAAGGTTTAGACATAATCCAGTTCCCCATATTTTTCCAATAAACATTTATATATAATGTATATTTATAGGGACCTACCATATAGAAGGCCCAGTGCTAGGCATTATGGAAGACAGAAAGATAAACAAGACACACAATACATTTCAGTGCTTCTGAAACTTGCTGGTAGGGGAAGAAGAGAGGAGATGAGAAACAAACAGAAATAACGCTACTACTAGGTAATGTAAGTAATATAAAAGAGGTTCAAACAAATAGCTACCAGTCAGAGGAGGGGAGAAAGCTTGTATCTGTGATGATAAGGCTTCATAACGGAAGCTGACTTAAGCTGGGCTTTGAAATATGAGTAAAACTTCAACGGGCAGAAAGGAGCAGGGAAGCGTGCTGGAACCATCTAGCTTCTGCCTACATCAGGCTACAGAAACTGCTGAGATTACCAGACTCCCTAAATGCTGTCTCTTTCTTGACCTCTCCCTTCCCACTCCTACCCTGGCTTTTCTTTCTTTCTTTTTAGGATTTTATGTATTTGACAGAGAGAGAGAGCATGCACAAGCAGGGGGAACGGAAGGCAGAGGGAGAGGCAGGTGGAGGGAGGAGGAGAAGCAGGCTCCCTGCTAAGCAAGGAGCCTGACATGGGGCTCGATCCCAGGACCCTGGGATCATGACCTGAACTGAAGGCAGATGCTTAACCGACTGAGCCACACAGGCAGCCCCTACCCTGGCTTTTCTGATGCAGAAACACATATCCTGGTTTTCCTCAACCTCCCTGACCATACCTTCTTTGCCTCTTTTTACCTCCTAAACAGAGCATGCCCCACAATTCTTTTTTGTACATCTTTTCTCTACAATCTTTCCCTTGGGAAATCTTGTCCTTTTCCACACCTTTAGCTTCCACCTTTTAGGCAGATAATTTCCACATTTCACTTTGCCCCTGCTACTCTGAGGAGTCTCAGATCAAAGTCAGGATCTCAGGCACACCACTTGCCAGCTATGAGACCCAGTTTGCCTTACCCCTTACAGGGTCAATTTCCCACTCTAAAATGTGGTGATAATACATCCCTCAGGGTGTGGTTGTAAGTACACTGTAGAGTAAAAAGCACTACCCAAATGTAAAGTGTTGTTATAATCCCGCAAACTAAATATAATCTTTCTTACTAGTGAATACCATTGACAACATTTCTCTCTCTCATGTGGCATGTATTTTATTCATGTATATGCCTTCCTATTCCCCTGTATATCCTAGATGTATCCAACAAAAAGCATTTAATGAATGTGAATGCTTGTCCTGTGTCGGGCATCATGCAGAGACCTAGGAGTAAATGATAAACCTAGAGTTCTCAGCTGAAATGGTGAGTGTTACAACAGAGATAAGTATGAAGTGCTAGAGGGATACAGACACAGGAGCAATTATCATGGGGTGGGGGAACAGTGAAGTGGTCCACTGCTTTTCACTTTTTTTATACAGGAAAACCTAAAGAAAGGCTTCTTCATCCTGGTAAATCCTATAGCTTAAAACAGAAATCACTCAATAAGCATTTGATGGTCAGAAATGAATTTTAAGGTGCAAATAAATGTTCAGGGGTAGGAAAGCTCAGGGCATGTTTGGGGAAACCAAGCAATGCAGCTTGGCTAGTAGATGACACTGCCTATGGATAGCACTGGAAAGGTCAGCTGGAGATATGTTATGAAAGATCTTGAAGGTCAGGTTACAGGACTTGGGATTTATTCTACAGGCAAAGATGGGAGTGGGGAAGGTGGTCATAGATGGCTTCTGGACAGAGGTGTAGTATAACCTAAGGGTGCTGTGGGTGTTTTACTCCAACAGCAATGTAGAGATGGGTTGCAGGGACCAGAGACCTGAGGCATGGGTACATATCACAAAGCAATTATAGTAGTTCAGGTAGCTCCCTCCCATTTTTCTAATACCTTGGTAGTTAACAAAGTGATCTAGCACAGAGCAAGACCAAATAGAAATACTTGAAAGCTTAAGACATGTAAGTCCTTAATAAATAATAAAAACATAAAAAAGATGAACATTTATAAATTTTGATAGGTATTACACTAGCATTTCCAGAGCAAGCTGTGCCTGCTTAATAACAGAAATTCAAGGCTCCATGAGTAAAAGATCATCTCCTATGCTATAAACTTAGTTGGTGCCTATCTTCTCTACACAATCAATGGTCTCTAATTTCCTTTGGTGACATTCAATGAGCTAATACTAATACGACTAATACAAGCCAGTGAGGGTAGGACACATGTACTGTAAAAATCTTAGTTATCATTAACTTCCAATTATCCATGAGAGCTATTCTGTTGCAGGTGAACCGCTACTCAGTAAAACCCAGTATGTCTTTTCTCAGTGTTTGCCAGACCGTATATCAAAACCTATGGCTGCTTCTACAGCTTGTGGATCTGACCATGTCCAGCACCTCACTCTCACTATTGGGTTTCCTGTCTTGCCATATAATAAACTTAAGAAGTGTCATATGAAGTATATATAATATTAATAACAGTCATAAAGGTAAATATGATTTTGTTCCTTCTTCAATCCCCACCTCAGGAATTGAAGGAGCTTCATATAATCAGAAGGAAAATGAAAAGATCTTGGGATTTTGTTTAGGGAATCAGATCAACCTGAGAACTAAATGCAAATTTTCACCAGCTAGTTAAAGATACTTAACCAAATATGACTCTGAAAGATCTCACCTCCTCAGTCTCTTAGCATACTGAATTTTGGAATCTGGTCTCTACACCCTACCAAACTGAGGTCAGACAGTTGGCTCCTTTACACAAGAATTTCTGGGGAGCTCCTGGGGGGCTCCTGGGTGGCTTAGTTGGTTGAGTGTCTGACTCTTGATTTCCACTCAGGTCATGATCTCAGGGTTGTGGGATCAAGCCGCCAGTAGAGCTCCACGCTCAGTGCGGAGTCAGCTTGAGATTCTCTCCCTCTCCCCCTCCCCGCCTGCTTGCAGGCCCATGCATGGGCACTCTAAATCAATCAATCAATCAATCCATCCATCCATCTTTTTTTTTAAAGGAATTTTTTTGTGCGCCTTATCATATGGCTACATAGAAACCAATACATATATTCTAACCTAGCTCATAGCTTTTACAACCAAGTTTTCACTCAAAATTTGGTATCTTATCTTTGAAAACGAAACTTAAAGAACTTAAAGCTCTTTTTGGAGCCCTCTGAGGCCTCCCAGCTCTGACAAGCAGTGATCTCCTTGCATTATGGAAACAGAGGATCTTTACTATGAATATCTTTACATTACCTCCTTCCTTCTCAGTTTCTGACTCAGAAGCTTCATCTTCACCTTCCTCCTCCTCTGAGCTGGAGCTGCTAGACTCTTTGCTTTCCTCCTCCATTTCTTGGGACTTGGGTACCTCTTCTTCATAAAGCATCTTCTCTTTGCTAAATTAAAGATGACAATTTGAGGGTAACTCAGAAACGGCAAACTATTTAAGTTCACTGACAATCAAGCATAAGGAGAACAAGTCTATAAACCTCTGTGTAGAAGCAATAACAGAAATACTTCAAATCCTTCTTTACATTCTTCTGAATCCTTGGGTTTTTGCAGACTAAGGTTCAGTATTTGACTTTAGAGTATGACTTAAGTGGATCTAGCCTGTTTAACACACAGGAAAAAGGAGGGCTATGAATCTTGACAGTGATAAGGCCGGTAAATATTTTTAAAAAGTCATTTAACAAATGTTTACTGAATGTTTATTACCTGCCGGGAATCATGCTAGGCCCTGGTACAGTGGTAAACAAAACACACATGGTCCCTGAGTTCACAGAACTTAGAGTTAGGGATGTAACTAGGACTAGGAACCCATAAGCTGGGGGGAAAATGTTGTACACTGTCTCAATTAATTTCTAAATTTAAAACACATTCACCCGGGGCACCTGGGTGGCTCAGTTGGTTGAGCATCAGCCTTTGGCTCAGGTCCTGAAACCAGGGTCCTGGGATTGAGCCCCCCGTCCCCTGCATCAGGCTCCCTGCTCATCAGGGAGTCTGCTTCTCCCTCCCCTTCTGCCCCTCCCCCTGCTCATGCTCACACACTCTCTCTCAAATAAATAAATAAAATCTTAAAAATAAATTAAAAAAAAAACACATTCACCCACCCTCAGTGTCTCCCCCATATATCAATGCCACCTCTTTGTCCCTCAAACATACCACATGTTTAAAGATCATTTGGCTTAAATCAAACACAGTTTCTTTCCTGTATAAATTCTCAAGCTATGTCATACACACATATGCAGCCAAACACAGCAGAGCTCATCCCATTTCTCAAGTCCTGAACGTCTTACTTCTTAAAAAGTCCACTCTGCAACTTGCTGTTCAGGTCTGACTCAATGAGCTTATTCCGTGTCTCTTTTTCACTTCGAAGCTGGAAATTGGAAAAACAGAGAGGAAAGGGAAGAAGTTGACTATTGGTAAAAATCAGCAGTGATGAGAAGAACTCAAAATGGTACTGTCATTCTGAAAAAAACAAGACCAATACCAAAAGGGGAAGAAAGAACTGAGAAAAAGAGAAACGCATCAGTTGGGTCTCCTTACAAGATAATGACAAAGAAAAATCCTCATCCAAGGTAAAAGAAAAACCACAGTGTTAGAGCTTCAATAAAACTGCTCATATCAAATATCCAAACCCAATCTTCAAAAAACCCTGGCTTCTAGTGCAGGCCGGCTGGCTCATTCAGAAGACCATGTGACTCTTGATGTGGGGGTTGTGACTTCAAGCCCCACGTTGGGTGTTGAGAGATTACTAAAAAAAAATAAGTAAACTTAAAAAAGAAAAAAAAAAAAAAAGCCTGGCTTCTGATGGATTAAAAAAAAAGGGAAGGAACTTTGAAAAAATTTTTTATGGCCACATACCGAATTAGGTTAGCAATAGTTCTCAAGAAAAAAACAGGTACCAAAGGGGAAATAAGTCCCTAGAATAAATTGTCTGGTATTTAGATACATGCTCTAGACAAAATGAGTTTATATTCCTGGACCCAAAAGTTATGCAGGGAGCAAAGATAAGCACCATTCCCAGTGCAGAAATGTTATTTACTGAAAATATTATTTATGTTCAAAAACCAAACCACGCTGGGTAAGGGATACATAGAAACTCTCTATTATTTTCGCAACTTCTTCATGGGTCTAAAAATTATTTCAGAATGACAAGTTTAAAACACAACAAAAACTGAACTAAACAAAGCATATATCTTAGGAAGGCCAATGCTGTTAGATAATAACCCCAGTACTCTGTGTGGTGAGTCCCAAGTTTTAGCCTAGATTCCACAGCTCACCAAAGAAAACAAGATGAACTGTTAAGTTGTGTTTGTCTGAGCTTTATATAGGCAATTGTTCCACTAAGCCTTGAAGTAACGGGGATCTTCACTCTACCAGTCCAGACTTGGTGCTGAACATGTGTGAGGTGAGATCCGGTTGATCTGTCCCACCAGTGAACTCCATTGTTATTTTTTTCAGAACTGCTCTAAGTTTCTCTCCTTTGTCTAAACTTGAGTTCACATGCCCTGAGCCACAATTCATGCAAAGAAAAACACAAAGGAAAGCTAGTGATTTTTTTCTGTCCTACTCTATTCAGACATCAGCCCTGATCATCAGTAGCTGATCTTTATTCTCCTTGTCCAAATTAATCATCCCACTTACACATAGAAAAAGTGAATTATTCACTGTTTATCTGGATATTGGGTGGGTTTTTCCTTCTGCAGTCTGTACATGGGTACAATACTTAGGTAGTTCTCCTACATAGCACCAAGCAACAGAATGGTACGTGCAAGCCAACAATAAAAGATTTAAAATGAGAAGGGAGAGGAGGATTGGGGCACCTGGGTGGCTCAGTTGGTTAGAAGACTGCCTTTGGCTTGGGTCATGATCCTGGAGTCCCGGGATCGAGTCCCGCATCGGGCTCCCTGCTCGGCTGGGGGTCTGCTTCCCCCTCTGCCCTCTTCCCTCTCATGATGTCTCTCATTCTCTCTCTCTCTCAAATAAATAAATAAAATCTTAAAAAAGAGAAGGGAGAGGAGGATTGAATTCTGGATATTTGATGAATCCTGAGTAAGTATGAATCACTGGCCAAGTACTGTCCAATACCAAAAGACAGGTTTAGTTTTGTGGCCTTGTTTGCTTTGTAAGAAAGAAGTATATTCCTCCCTGTAATGAATTTACTTTAAATAAACATGCCCTTTCAGTCAATAAGAGGAGAAAAAAGTTATGAGATGTCCTCTACCCTGGTACTCCCTATTTGGAAAAAACTCTGATTTGAATATACCACATTCATTTCCTAGAACTCAAGGGTAATAATTACTTTGTTGTTCTCATCATTTTTGACTTTCAGCTGCTTGAAGGCTATCTTATAATGAGTAAACTTTAACAACAATGGTGTCTGGGATATTTTCTAACAGACTGTTGCTAGTCCCTGAAGTGAACAATTATCATCTCTGGAATGTAGATATGTCCATTTCAGCTCTCAGGAGACATAACTAAAACAAGGGATGAGATACCCGCACTGTTATAAAAGCTTTTAAAAGCATTAACCAAAGACTTACCACATTCTGCTTCTTCTGGAGCATCTCCAAGTGCTCCACAAGACCCTCATCAGCCACATCAAATGGTGTCTGGCCCTGGCAGAGAAAAGGGGGTACCATGATCAAAAGAAAATAGAAGTAGTGATTTTGTGACTTCATCAGAGAACTATTCAATACTCATTTTATGCCTTTGTTCCAGTGAGAGCTGCTTCCCCAACTTATCTACTCTACATTATAATAATGCCTTCATCTATCACAGAGAAAACGTAACAAGAAACAGCATGTCTGTTCGGGAACCTGGGTAGCTCAGTTGGTTAAGTGTCTGACTCTTGATTTTGGCTCAAGTCATGATCTCAGCGTTGTGAGATTGAGCCCCACATCAGGCTCTGTGCGTGGAACCTACTTAAGATTCTGTACTACCTCCCCCCCTTACCCACTCACACTCTCTTCCTCTAAAACAAAGCAAAACACATCAAGTCCTTTAAATACATGTTTTTATATTTAATAAAACAGTATCGAGGAAATCACCACATTATCTCTAATGCTTACTGCCTCTTGGCATATAATCAATTGAAATCTCTACTTGTGCCTGTTCTAAAAGGGTCTTAATTTCTATAATAAATTCAATAAGGGGCTTTTAAAAGCCTCAGAACGGGGTCCAGGGCACATGTGCACTGAAGGTTAAGTCACAGCAGTTATCTCCCTTCAAGTGAGAGAAGGGTGTCTCTTTCAGGAAACATCAGCACAGTTCAGGACCATAACCCATAAACTGGGGATGAAAGCTGGGTTCAGGAGAGATGTGAAGCAGATGAGAACATCTACTAAATAAAAAGCCATGTCTCTGGATTCCTAAAAAAAACTCACTAGGTGTAGGGATAGGAGTTCTAGGGCCTCTGAAGTTGCTTGAAGTGAGGCTGAATAACTATTTTCAGCCAGACTCAAGGATCTTTGTCATTACAGTGTTTTTTTTTAATGACTGGATGAGAGTAGAATTCAGCTATCAAAAGTCTTTGAATTAAAAATAAAGTAAAATAAAATCTTTCATACTTCACCAGAGAGAGCAACCTTAGGATTTCCCAATGCTCATTTTTCCCAAGGGCAAATATCTTTTTTTCCTATTTATTTTAGGGGCTTCAACATAAATAGAATCAGAATGCTGATCAGTAGAGTTTTATTTTACACAGCAAACATCTCTGTGTTGATAATGGGGCAGGGGGGAAGGGGGAGGGTGCAGGGAACAGAGCCATAGCTACCTGTGATGTATATTTCCCCAGACAGTAAGCCTGGCCATTTAACTGAGACTTTAAGCCTTTTGTTCTAGAGACCCAGATACCAATTTCACTGCCCTTTTAGAGGGTCAGGCATACTAACCAGTTTGTTCCTGATATCCATGTCACAGAGTGCTTCTGCCAGGATGGAGCAAGCCTCCTTCACTCCCCAGTGTGCAGCAGCATGGAGGGGAGTCCAGCCATCATAATCCTGAACATTGAGTTCATAGCCAGCCTGGATTAAAAGTCTAAGAAGAAAACCCCAAACAAGACACTTATACCCTCTATATTACAGTTTTCTGCCAAATAAACTATCACTGAATTGATATTCACTTTGGCCCTGAACCACCGGGAAACTGTGATTACTTCTGTCCTCTAAGGCACAGCTCGGGCTTCACGGTTCCTACACTGAGAACCTATCACAGAGAGCAGTTATCAACCCGCTCTGAAAGGTCAGAGTGTATTTCCTAGGGTACATCCATGTGACACCATACAAGAGGGGTATTTAGAAAGGTGTATCCCTTTGAGATTCACCAAAGCCTGATTAAATTTGCCAAACCACACAACCTGTTACAAGGTGTGTTTTCCATTTCCTAGTGCAGGTAGGAAAGAACATCTAAAATGAGAACTCCCATCAACAGTGTAAGAGGGTCCCGTTTCTCCACATCCTCGCCAACACTTGTTGTTTCCTGCTGTGTTAATTTTTGCCATTCTAACTGGTGTAAGGTGGTATCTCAATGTGGTTTTGATTTGAATTTCCCTGATGGCTAACGATGTTGAACATTTTCACCCAATGTTCATAGCAGCAATGTCCACAATAGCCAAACTGTAGAAGGGCCGAGATGCCCTTCAACAGATGAATGGATAAAGAAGATGTGGTTCATATATACAATGGAATATTACTCAGCCATCAGAAAGGATGAATACCCACCATTTGCATAGACATGGATGGAACTGGAGGGGATTATGCTAAGTGAAATAAGTCAAGCAGAGAAAGACAATTATATGGTTTCACTCATATGTGGAACGTAAGCAATAGCATGGAGGACAATAGGGGAAGGAAGGGAAAACTGAAGTGGGGGAATCAGAGAGGGACTAACCATGAGAGACTCTGGACTCCAGGAAACAAACTGAGGGTTTTGGGGTGGGGGGAAATGGGATAGCCAGGTGATGGGGATTAAGGAAGGCACGTGTTGTGATTAGCACTGGGTGTTATACCCAACTAATGAATCACTGAACACTACATCTGAAACTAATGATGTACTGTATGGTGGCTAACTGAACATGAAAGAAAGAAAAAGAAGGGAGGGAGGGAGGGAGGGAGAGAGAGAGAGAGAGAGAGAAAGAAAGAACGAACTCAATATTCTTCAGGGCACTTGACTTACGAACTTTCTAGTTGATCTTTCCAGGATCCCGTATGTTTACTGTAGACTCTCAAACTTCCAACTCTGTGAAGTATTTGCAGGGACTTCTTGCTAACTACAAAGCTATAATCTGTGTGCATGGAGGAAGAAAGGTATGACTCCTGAGGCCCCAAACTGCACTGGCCTGATTGAGGTTACCCATATCATGGGCCTCCAGACACCTTCTAAGAAGTGAGCAGAATATGAATGCCACTCTCAGGCAGAAACAGTATACTAACATACTGCCACACCTATTAGATACCCCATATTCGGTGGAGTATGAAGCACTGGAAGAGTCTGGCAACAACTATGCACACAAATCTATTAGCTGCCCATGTATTTGGGAAAGCCTGTCAACAGTAAGCACCAGAAGCTACCTAAAGCATGTATGGATGTAAGAAAAAATGGAACAGACAGAGCAGTAGAATCCAAATCCCTCGTATCAGTTTAACTCTCCTACTCTAACTGGACACTGCACACTCAAGATCTGTACCCTTAATCTAAAGAGCCCAAAGAAATTTTCTATGCCCAAAAAGGACCAAAATGATCACCAGTCTGTCCTGTATTACACATCACCAGAGGAGAAGATTGTAGGGATAGTAATGATAAATCACAGCACTGGAAGAGATCATGTAAGGTCATCTTCTAGGCTAGTGTACCTCAACTGTTTCCTATCATACATGTCAGTGAGAAACTCACGTGACCGTAGGAGGGTGGGAGACCATCTATGGATTAATATCAGCAAAAGAGAAGAAAAGACTGAATGATCAGAGAGGAAAACAATAAAGAAAGAAACACATCATAGCTGATAATCTAATTCATCCCCTGCTTCCAAAACCCAGCTCATCTTCTCCCAGTCTACCAAACTCCTGACTGATGTAAATGGACAATACCTGAGGACCTCAGAGTAGCCCTTGGCAGCAGCCACATGGAGGGCTGTGGCCCCTGAGCGAGGCTGCCTTACATCCTCTAGTTTCCCGCTGTTGAGCCACTGGCGGGCATCCTGTAACATCTGTTGTTCCTCTTCTTTTCGTGACTGCTCTAGATCAACTCCTGCAGAAACCAGAGAGCCAGCATTACTCAAGGCCCATTTAAATCTGACAGGATATTTTCCTTAGATTCTAAACACATCATAAATAAAACTGCAAATAACAGTTGAGTCATCAAGTTGGGTATTCATCAAATTTACTCTTTATTTAGAAGAGCAATGACATTTATACACATACTAGTAGTTTTACCAGGGTTAAATCATCATTTTAAATACTGTGTGATGGCAGATCCATTAAAGGAACACACTTAAAATTGAAAACAATTTTAAGAACATAAAGACCAAACTGGACATTAGTTTTGTATTATAGTATTTGTACAATGCTATACACTTCAAAGACCTTTTATGTGTTACACCATTTTAGTTTCCCAACAATCCTTTGAGGTAAATATAATAGATATCACTATCACCATTTAACAGATGAGGAAATAAACATAGAAAGGTTAGGTGCCTCGCTCAAGGCCATAAAACACATTAGAGCTGTAACTAGAACTCTGGCATCCTAGGTCCCTGTCTACTGTTCGTTCCCACTTACTACTCCATTAAGATTGGTATAAAAAAATATTGGTTTCAGGTATGATATACTTTAAAAAAATAATCTACCTCTAATGTTCACTTCCATATGTAGGGAAATATACTGACTTGAAGCTATATAATCTAGAGCAGCTGAGTAGGTCATGTGCAGTTAAAACTTCCAAGGGAATGTAGCTTTTGTTTTGCTTTAAAACATTATAGAGGAACTCCAAAAAGCTCCTCCCTTTAGGCAGCAACTGTCCAACATCTGTGCCACTGAAAAGGGGCTGGGGCGGGGCACTCCCTCTTATATAAAATAATGACATGATCAATTCACAGAAATCAGTTGCATTTCTATATACCAACAATGAGACAGAAGAAAGAGAAATTAAGGAGTCGATCCCATTTACAATTGCACCCAAAACCGTAAGATACCTAGGAATAAACCTAACCAAAGAGGCAAAGGATCTGTACTCAGAAAACTATAGAATACCCATGAAAGAAATAGAGGAGGACACAAAGAAATGGAAAAACGTTCCATGCTCATGGATTGGAAGAACAAATATTGTTAAAATGTCTATGCTACCTAGAGCAATCTACACATTCAATGCAATCCCTACCAAAATACCTTCAACTTTTTTCACAGAACTGGAACAAATAATCCTAAAATTTGTATGGAACCAGAAAAGACTCCGAATAACCAAAGGAATGTTGAAAAAGAAAACCAAAGCTGGTGGCATCACAATTCCGGACTTCAAGCTCTATTACCAAAGCTGTAATCATCAAGACAGTACGGTACTGACACAAAAACAGACACATAGATCAATGGAACAGAATAGCGAACCCAGAAATGGACCCTCAACTCTATGGTCAATTAATCTTCAACAAAGGACAAAAGAATATACAATGGAAAAAAGACAATCTCTTCAACAAATGGTGTTGGGAAAATTGGACAGCCACATGTAAAAGAATGAAACTGGACCATTTCCTTACACCATACACAAAAATAGACTCCAAATTTGGTTTAAAGACCTAAATGTGAGACAGGAATCCATCAAATTCCTTGAGGAGAACACAGGCAGCAACCTCTTTGACCTCGGTTGCAGCAACTTCTTGCTAGACACATCTCCAAAGGCAAGGGAAGCAAGGGCGAAAATGAACTATTGGGACTTCATCAAGATACACAGCTTTTGCACAGCAAAGGAAACAGTCAACAAAATCAAAAGACAACCAACAGAATGGGAGAAGATATTTGCAAATGACATATCAGATAAAGGGTTAGTATCCAAAATCTATAAAGAACTTATCAAACTCAACACCCAAAGAACAAATAATCCAATCAAGAAATGGGCAGAAGATATGAGCAGACATTTCTGCAAAGAAGATATCCAAATGGCCAACAGACACATGAAAAAGTGCTCAACATCACTCGGCATCAGGGAAATACAAAAATCAAAACCACAATGAGATACCACCTCACACCAGTCAGAATGGCTAAAATTAACAAGTCAGGAAATGAAGGATGTTGGCGGGGATGCGGAGAAAGGGGAACCCTCCTACACTGTTGGTGGGAATACAAGCTGGTGTAGCCACTCTGGAAAAACAGTACAGAGGTTCCTCAAAAAGTTGAAAATAGAGCTACCCATGACCCAGCAATTGCACTATTGAGTGTTTACCCCAAAGATATAAATGTAGTGACCTGAAGGGGCACCTGCACCCCAATGTTTATAGCAGCAATGTCCACAATAGCGAAACTATGGAAAGAGCCCAGATGTCCATCAACAGATGAATGGATAAATGTGGTATGATGTGGTATGTGTACACACACACACACACACACACACAGGAATATTACGCAGCCACCACAAAAATGAAATCTTGCCATTTGCAATGATGTGGATGGAACTAGAAGGTATTATGCTAAGTGAAATACGTCAATCAGAGAAAGACAATTATCATATGATTTCACTGATCTGTGGAATTTGAGAAACAAGGCAGAGAATCATAGGGGAAGAAACGGAAAAATGAAACAAGATGAAACCAGAGAGGGAGACAAACCGTAAGAGACTCTTAATCTTAGGAAACAAACTGAGGTTGGGAGGGCGGGTGAGGGGATGGGGTAACTGGGTGATGGACATTGAGGAGGGTATATGTTGTAATGAGCACTGGATATTATATAAGACTAATGAATCACAGACCTGTATCTCTGAAACAAATAATACATTATATGTTAATAAAAAAAATACCCAAAAAAATGACATGTCCCAAATACAAACATAGCCATTCGAAGAGTTCTATACTCATGAACAGGCTTTATCTGTGCTTGGTCTACTCCCTTCCAACTCACTTCCTAAATGAAAACCTGTGAGCTACCTAAGGATTATCTGTCTGATTTGGGGAGATTGATGGGGTGAAAGGGTAAGCAATTTATTTCTTTTTTTTTTTCCAGAGTCACTGAGATGTAACAGACATATAACACTGTGTACATTAAATTTGTACATGTTGATTTGATACTTATATATGCAAAATGATCACTACAATAAAGTTAGTTAACAACAGTATCACCTCACATAATTATCATTTCTTTTTTGTGCTGGAAACATTTAAAGTCGCTTAGTAACTTTCAAGTTCATAATACAGTATTGTTAATTACAGTTACCATGATGTACATTAGATCCACAGAACTTATTTTATAACTGGAAGTTTGTACCCTTTGACCAATATCTCCCCATTCATCCCCACCCCTAGCCCCTGGAAACCACCATTCTACTCTCTGATCATATAATATTTGTTTCTTTCTCTGTCTGACTTATTTCACTTAGCATAATGCCCTCAAGGCCCACCCATGTTGTTGTACATAGCAATATTTCCTTCTTTCTCATGGCTGAATAATATTCCATTATATATTCCATTATATATATATATATATATATAACATCTTTATCCATTCATCCATAGACTGACACTTAGGTTGCTTCCATATTTTGGTTATTGTGAATAATGATGCATTGAAAAGAGGAGTACAGATATCTCTTTGAGATCCTTTTTTTTTTTTAAGATTTATTTATTTTAGGGGAGGAGGGGCAGAGGGAGAGGGAACCCTCAAGCAGACTCCCTGCTGAGCAAGGAACCTGACGTGGGGCTCAATCTCAGAACCCTGAGATTATGAGCTGAGCCAAAATTAAGGGTCGACCGCATGACCGACTGAGCCACCCAGGCACTCTTCTCTTTGAGATTTTACTTTCATTTTCTTTGGATATATACCCTGAAGTGGGACTGCTGGGTCATATGATAGTACTATTTTTAATTTTTTAAGGAAATTCCATGCAGTTTTCCATAGTTGCTATGGAAAATTTACATTCACACCAACTGTGTACAAGAGTTCCTTTTTCTCCACAGCCTTGCCAACACTTACTATTTCTTGTCTTTTTGATGATAGCCATTTGAACAGGTGTGAGGTGATATCTCACAGTGGTTTTGATTTCTGTGTCCCTGATGATTAGTGATGCTGAACATCTTCGCATAAACCTGCTGACTGTTTGTACATCTTCTTTGAAAAAATGTCAATCCAGTTCTGCCCATTTTTTGTTTTTGCTGTTGTGTTCTATGAGTTCCTCATGTATTTATCAGATATATGATTTGCAGATATTTTTTTCCCATTCTGCAGGATGTCTTCATTTTGTTCATTGTTTCTTTTGTTGTGCAGAAACTTCTTAGTTTGATGTCGTTCTGCTTATTTATTTTCGCTTTTGTTGCTTGAGCTTTTTGTGTCATATCCCAAAAATTATTGTCAAGACCAATGGAAAGGAGGTTTCTCCCCATGTTTTCTTCTGGGAGTTTTATAGCTTCAAGTCATATGCATTAGTTCTAACTCCATTTTAATTTCTGTGAGTGTTGTAAGATAGGGGTCCCATTTCATTTTTCTGCATGGGATTATCCAGTTTTCCTGACACCATTTATTGAAGAGACTATCCCTTCCCTAATGAGTCCTCTTGGCTCTCTTGTTCAAATATTAGTTAACTATGTATGTGAGGGTTTATTTTTGGGCTCTCCATTCTGTTCCATTGGTCTATGTGTCATTTTTATGCCAATATCACACTGCTTTGATTACTATAGCTTGGTAGTATAGTTTTGGAATCAGGAAGTGTGATGCCTCCAACTTTGTTCTTTTTCAGGATTGCTTTGGCAATTTGGGGTCTTTTGTAGTTCCATACAAACTTCAGGATTGTTTTTTCTATTTCTGTGAAAAATGCCTCTGAAATTTTGATAGGGATTACACTGAATCTACAGATGGCTTTGGACATTTTAACAATATTAATTCTTTCAATCCATGGGTGGATTTCCATTTATATGTGTCTTCTTCAATTTCTTTCTTTTCAGATCTTTCGCTTCCTTGGTTAAATTTATTCCCAACCAATTTATTGTTTTTGATGCTAACAGTTTTTTGGTAGTCTTCAGAATTTTCTATACATGAGATCATAATCATCTGCACACAAAGAAGATTTTAGTTCTTCCTTTCTGATTTACATGCCTTGTATTTCTTTTTCTTGCTTGAGTACTCTGGCTAGGACTTCTAGTAGTATGTTGAACAGAAGTGGTGAGAGTGGGCACCCTTGCTTTGTTCCTGATCATAAAGGAAAAGCTTTTAACCTTTCACCATTGAGTATGATGTTAACCATGGGCTTGTCATATATGGCCTTTATTATGTTGAAATAATTCCTTCTATACCCAATTTGTTCAGAAGTTTTACCATGAAACGTTGTTGTAGTTTGTCAAATGCTTTTTCTGCATCTGTTGAGATGATGATTTTTACCTTTCATTCTATTAATGTTGTGTATCATATTTATTGATTTATGTATGTTGAACCACCCTTGCATCTCAGAGATAAACCCCACTTGATCATAGTGTATGATCTTTCTATTGTGCTGCTGAATTTGGTTTGCTAATATTTCATTGAGAATTTTTGCATGTATATTCAGCAGGGATATTGGCCTACAGTTTCCTTTTCTTGTACTGTCCTCATCTGGCTTTAGTATCAGGGTAATGCTGGCCTCATAAAATGAGTTTGGGAGTTCCCTCCTCTTCACTTTTTTTGAAAGAATTTGAGAAGGACTGGTATTAATTCTTCTTTAAATGTTTGGTAGAATTAACCTAAGAAATCATCTGGTCCTGGGCTTTTCTTATTGTTTGATTACTGATTCAATCTCCTTATTTGTTATCAGTCTGTTCAGATTTTCTGTTTCTTCCTGATTCAGTCTTGGTAGGTTGCAAATTTCTAGGAATTTATCTATTTCATCTAGGTTATCCATAGTTGTTTATAGTAGTCTTTTATCATGCTTTGTATTTCTGTGGTATCAGTTGTAATGTCTCTTCTTTCATTTGGTTTTATTTCAGTCTTCTCTTTTCTTCTTAGTCTAGCTTAAGGTTTGTCAGGTTTTTTTTTTTTTAAAGATTTTATTTATTTATTTGACAGAGAAAGAGACAGCAAGAGCAGGGACACAAGCAGGGTAGTAGGAGGGAGAAATAGGCTTCCCGTCAAACAGGGAGCCCAATGTGGGACTCAATCCCAGGATCCTGGGATCATAACCTGAGCCGAAGGCAGACGCTTAACAACTGAGCCACCCAGGCACCTGAGGTTTGTCAATTTTATTTATCTTTCAAAAAATAGCTCTTAGTTTCATTAATCTTTTCTATTTTTTTTTTTCTGGTCTATGTTTCATTTATTTCTGATCTTTGTTATTTCCTTCCTTCTGCTAACTTGGGCTTAGTTTATTCCCTTTTCTAGTTCTCTGAAATGTAAAGGCGAGTTGTTTGAGATATTTCTTTTTTCCTAATGTAAGCATTTGTCACTATAAACTTCCCTCTAAGAACAGCTTTTGCTATATTCCGTAAGTTTTAGCATGCTGTGTTTCCATTTTCGTGTTTTTCAAGATATTTTTAAATTCTTCTTTGACCCACTGGGTATTTAGTAGCCTGTTGTTTAATCTCTACGTATTTGTGAGTTTGAGTTTTTCAGTCCAGTTTTCCTCCTCTTATTGATGGAATGTTCTGTACATGCCTATTAGGTCCACAGGGTCTAAAGTATAGTTCAAGTCCAATGTTTCCTTGTTGGTTTTCTGTTCAGATGACCTATCCATTGTTGAAAGTGGGGTACTGAAGTCCCCTTCTATTACTGTATCATTGTCTATTTTTCCCTTCAGATCTGTCCATATTTGTTTAATATATTTAGGTGTTCAAAAGTTGGGTGCATATTAATTTATGACTGTTATATCCTCTTGAAACTGAAAGGGATATCTGATTTAGAACACCAGAATTCCACACAAAGAGAGAACAGTGCTAAAAAGTTAAGCATACATTTGAATACCTCTTATTCCTTAATTGAACAGAACATATTCCTTAATTAAAGAGCATATTCCTTAATTGAAGAGTCAGAAATCAAAATAGAAAAGTTGGTTGCTTGGGGCGCCTGAGTGGCTCAGTCAGTTGAGTGTCTGGTTCATGATTTAGGCTCAGGTCATGATCTCATGGGTCACTCCCTGCACTCAGTGGGCAGCCTGCTTGAGATTCTCTCCCTCTGCCCTCCACCTTCTCTCTCTCAAATAAATAAATCCTTTTTTTTTTTTTAAAAGAAGTTGGTTTCTTAAATCAAAGCTATTTTAAAAACAGTTTGTTTAAAAAAAAAGTTTTTGTAAATAGTGATGCCAATCTTAGCATAAGGCTGAGTGGGACTGAACGGTAAACTAAGTATAAAATTCTTTAATTCAAAGGGCACAAAAATTATACACGGGAAGACAGTAAAAACAAGTATTCACTGCCCTAGAACATCATTATTTTAAGGTATTGGCATACTTTCCATAAAAAGCCAGATATCAAATATTTTCCACTTTGTGGGCCATTCGGTCTGTTCAACTCTGCTGCGGTAAGTGCAAACGCAGCTTTTGGTAATATGTGAACAAATGGATGTGGCCAGGACTGGCCTGCCTGTTCTAAAGGATCATATCAGGAAAGGTCACTGGAACTTAATCTTTTGGAACGAAGTGCAGATTGTGGGTAAGCTAATTTAACAGAAAGACTAAACATCACTACAAACCATGTCCACAAAGTTTTTTGATGTGTTCTAGCAAACTTCCTAAAACCTGTCCTCCCTGCCATCTGACTATTTGCAATATTTTTTTATTAAAAGAACTTAGAAACTTCATGAAAATCCTGACTTATTCTCTTATATGGATTTTTCTGAAAATTAAAATTAAGTATTTGTAGAGTTTATTCTTCTAAATAACAAACTGCAGAATAATTTTCATGGTCAGTATGGTTAAGGATCATTTCAGAGGTTTTATAATAAATACTTTTACCAGCACCACTTTCAGCTCTCATCAAGAGAAAAGATACAAAGTCATCAGCAGAATTTGCCCAGTACTCAAGTTTACACTGTATATCATCCTTTCTTTAGACTTTATAATGTGTAGCCAAATCCAGTACCATGTACACACAGTGAGAAACTTCATGCTCCTCACCAGTCTAATTTGTATTATCAAAGAATACTCAGGTCACTCCCAACTATACAATGGGTATACATCCTTGGATACGACAAAAACAAGGAATGACCCGTCATCCTTTTGACATTTGGCCTATTCTTGTGTGAGTTATTAAGAGGATACATGATGTTGGTGATTGATGACTAATGCTGTGGAGACAGATCTAATCCTCTCTTATCATATGATAATGAAAAACTCTATAGTATACACCAAATGGATTGTTTTCTAAGTGGCAATGTTTGAGAGTCTCTCCTGGTCCCCTGAAATCGCTTAGGTTACCTTGCTTCTTCACTTGCTCCAGAAGAAGATCCTTCATGGCAGGCTCTTCTGCAAGGTCAGAGGGGACTTCACCTTCACTATTCACAATACCCACACTGGCTCCATGGTTAATGAAATACCTGTGTAGACAAGATCCAGGATCTACATTATCTCTGTCAGTCTAATAATAATTTATACTTGTGCATATGGTCTTCAATGCAGAGCAAGGCCACTGTTTTGGAGTTTTAAATAAGGTCTCAGATAACATGTTCCATTATTAATTTCTAACTCCATTAGCCTTCAATAATTAGGACTGGAAACTTCTCTATTTCGTGACAAGCAATCCAACAAACAGGATTTCTTTCACACTCTTATTCCTTTTTTTTTTTTTTTAAGATTTTATTTATTTATTTGACAGAGAGAGACACAGCGAGAGAGGGAACACAAGCAGGGGGAGTGGGAGAGGGAGAAGCAGGCTCCCCATCTAGCAGGGAGCCCGATGTGAGGCTTGAGCCCAGGACCCTGGGATCCCATGATCCCAGGATCATGACCTGAGCCGAAGGCAGATGCTTAACACCTGAGCCACCCAGGCGCCCCTCACACTCATATTCCTAACTTCCACCCTCTCACTCCCATTGGATAGCAAGAGATTTTCTAAATACCATAAGGAAGACATGCAGCCATAAAAACTCACCCACCATCCCTGAGATCCAAACACAAATTCCCAAATGGATTTATACACTTGTAATACTGTAAGAGCCCTCAGAAGATATGTAAGGAAGTAATTCTCACAAAAACTTTCTCAATGCCTCATTAGAGTATATTAAGTAGTGCTCGGTATGAAAACAGAAAAATAATGAAATAAAATGTGCATTAATCTGCCTAAATTATGCCTCCACAAAACTCTCCCTTCAACCAGCCATCTACATGAAACCTTCTACACTAAATACAATACTCAATCCTAAAGAAGAAAGGTCTGATCATTTTAATACTTTAAATGTATCCTTTTTGATTTTCAAAGAGCTTTCACATAAAATTACATAACATGTCAGGCAATTTTAAGAAGTAGACAGTATGGGCATTACTACCTCCACAAGAAATTGAGGCTCATACATGTTATTTTCCTAAAATCATAGAAGTGGCAACTGACAGAATTGGTGGCTCCAGCCTCCTATCTTCAAGTCTAGTTCATCTGTTCACTAGGTCAAGTTGCTTTTGGGCCAATGAGAATCCCAGTAATACTGGGAACTCTAACAAATACTCAGAGTATTTAAAGGGGGAAAGAACTCTGGAAAACAGTATGGAGGTTCCTCAAAAAGTTGAAAATAGAACTACCCTACGACCCAGCAATTGCACTACTGGGTATTTACCCGTAAGATACAAATGTAGTGATCCGAAGGAGCACCTGCACCCCAATGCTCATAGCAGCAATGTCCACAGTAGCCGAACTATGGAAAGAGCCCAGATGTCCATTGACAGATGAATGGATAAAGAAGACGTGGTGTGTGTATCTATATACACACACACACACACACGCACACATACAATGGAATATTACGCAGCCACCACAAAAATGAAATCTTGCCATTTGCAATGATGTGGATGGAACTAGAAGGTATTATGTTAAGTGAAATAAGTCAATCAGAGAAAGACAATTATCATATGATCTCATTGATATGTGGAATTTGAGAAACAAGGCAGAGAATCATAGGCAAAGAAAGGAAAAAATGAAACAAGACAAAACCAGAGAGAGAGACAAACCATAAGAGACTCGATCTCAGGAACAAAACTGAGAGTTGCTGGAGTGGAGGGGGGTGGGAGGGATGGGGTAACTGTGTGATGGACATTGGAGAGGGTATGTGCTATGGTTAGCACTGTGAATTGTATAAGACTGATGAATCACAGACCTGTACCCCTGAAACAAATAGTACATTATATGTTAATAAAAAAATAAATAAAGGGGGAAAGAAAAACTATTTAAATCAGCGAAAGAAAAACTATTTAAATCAGCTTCAACAAGTCAGTGACCATTTATCAGTCCCTTACTATGTTTAAGGTACCACATTTTAGATATCGTAGATTTTCTTTTTTTTTAATATATTTTTAAAGATTTTATTTATTTATTTGACAGAGAGAGACACAGCGAGAGAGAGGGACCACAAGCAGGGGGAGTGGAAGAGGGAGAAGCAGGCCTCCCATGGAGCAGGGAGCCCGACGTGGAGCTCGATCCCAGGACCCCGGGATTATGACCTGAGCCAAAGGCAGACGCTTAACGACTGTGCCACCCAGGTGCCCCAGATATCGTAGACTTTCAAAAGATAATCAAGATATGGTCACTATATTCAAAGAGTTGGCAAAGAGAAAGAATCAACAAAGACTATTAAAATCATGTTTGTGCTTTCTCAGTGCCTAGTACCTGGTATAACAGAGCCTCAATAAATGTGAATTTCTGTATCAATTGCACATATATAAAGTGTAAAAGCATTCACAAGTCATCTAATTTTCAGCTGTCCCTGTCCTTCCCTCAAGTCTCAGAGGAAGAGACTTTCTTCCAATTTAAAGGTTAATTCCCTATATCTACTTTCTTAGTTCTATCAAGTACCAGTCCTCTGTTCATCAATTACTCCTTCATTTCCACATATTCAATAGCTTCTCTCTTCTGGTTCCTCAACATCAGGCCAAAGAAACATTCAGTTACACCTCCCCCACCCTGAAAAGTCAAAATGGAAATAATCTACATAGTAAGCACTCAATGAATGCTTTTTGGGTTGACCTGTACCCGATACTCTAATCACACTGAACTACTTAATGTTCTCAAACATATCCCACTCTCACTCAGCAATCTTCCACAGCTCAGTAGTTTCCTCCAACTGGATGAAATACCCTCCCCATCTCCTTTCCCTTCTAGAAACTCCATTTTCAATGTCCACTTAAAATGCTTTTGCCTTCATGCAGCCTTTGCTTGTTCTCACCAAATGAATCCTCTGTCTCCTTCCTTTAATTCCGCCCTTCCCCTGCTGCCCTCCACAGCACTAATTCTGGACCTCTGCCAAGACACTATTGATGCACCTGCCCAATTAAGCTGAAAGCTACTTGAGGGCAAGAACTGTGTCTTCCTCACTGTTATCATTGCTATAACATTCTGACATCATCTCTTTTCTCTTGGCACTATATAAATATTACCTGAAATAAATGAAACATCTTACCCACTCTGCTCTGACATCTATTCCATCCCTTCCTGGATCGGGCACAATGTCACTTGGGTATACAGGCCCCTGCTTTTCCCTTTTCTGACAGGTTCTTATGCTCAGGATCAAGAAGACTCATTTCTAGAAAGCAATCTGGTTCACCATGAATCAGAGACTACTGTTAAGCAAGGCTACCTTTCTAGACCATTTTTAGGAAAAAAAGAAGTAAAAACCTGTTTAGTTTCCCACTTTTACCTGAACAAGAATAAATATCAATTCTATAAAGTAATATTTACTTTACTCCTGAGAATCTTTATAGTTACCCAAAAGCTCAGAAATACCCATTATCTCAATAAATATGCCCCTCAGAAAATAAAGCCCTTCTATTCTTCCTAACTCATGACTGATACAAAGTATTTTTACTACTATCTAAAGGAGGAAGAAAGAAAATTTAATGTGTTTAAAAACTCAGAATAAATTAGCATCCCAATAAACTATAAAGTCAAACTAAATGCTGTACCCTTGGGTCAATCTGCTGCTTCTAAGTTAAACACTTATTGGTAATAAAAATATAAAACATCCAGCTTACTAACAATAAGCCTGAACTCAAATTAAAAGGAGAAAAATAATAGCCTCTAAACCTCTTTTTAAAAATATATCATACTGAGTTCAAATATGAGACAAAAAGGTAATGGAACATGAAATAGAGTGCATTTCAATTCTTTTTTTTTTTTTGAAGATTTTATTTATTTGAGAGAGAGCAAGAGAGAGTGAGAGAGAGAGCATGAGCTGGGGGAGGGGTGGGCAGAGGGAAAGGGATAAGCAGACTCCCTGCTGAGCAGTGAGCCTGACACGGGGCTTGATCCCAGGACCCCAGGATCACGACCTGAGCCGAAGGCGGAGGCTTAACCAACTGAGCCACCCAGACGCCCCTTAGATTCTTCCTAGAAAGCTAGTTTGCCTTTTGTTTGTTTCCATTCCCTTAAAATTTAGAATTCTTATGATTCAGAGCATAAGAGTGTAAAATTTAAGATTTTTAAGATAAAAAAAAAAAAGACAAAATGACCAAGGGTTAATCTTATCTAAAACATTGTTCATAGGACCTAAGGTAAAGTAACCAAAATGAATATGAATGAATAATGAATAAATGAATAAATGAACCAAACATAAACAGTGGGGTTCTTTTCCATTGTACAGAAAGCATCACAAATAAGTAAATAATGACAAGGTCAAAACCTGTCTAATAATGATATGTATAATGAAAGGTAAATTAAAAGGCCATCCTTATCACCACCCCACCTATGCAATAGATTCTAGTCTAGATCATCACTCTCCTGGTCAGACTTTCATATGTCTAATGAGTAATAATTTATATGAGGAAACAGTAACCCTCCTGATTCCTTTCACTCAAGGTAATCTTTATTTGGGCAGGAGATTGTTAAATTTTGAACTTGTTTCCAAAGGAATTGTGTTCATCCAGAAAGATGAATTAAAGAAATCACTGTAAAAAAGCATTTACAATCATTCTCTGTACTCAGCTTCACAAAAAGGAAAAAAAGAGACTCCACGGACAATGCCAACACCAGCGATCCTAATTCCAAGCATGAGCTCTGCTGGTTACCTTCCAAAGGGAAAAAAGTGAAATTCCTGCGTGTAATGAGATCTGGTAACTCAAAAATCACAAACAAGCCATCTGAACAAATAATGACATACAAAAAATGAGGTGCTAACATGTTCTATAACTGTTTCTTCGATACATTTTTAAAGTAGAAATCAGAATCTATGAGGACGCCCCCCATAAGTCTTAGATCGGAGAATACTGGCGTTAGTGGTAAGGCTGAGAATCAGAGCCTTTCCTATGAGATTCTAAAAAGAGGGCAGCCTGAGGGGTGAAGACGTGACTGATTTTTACTAAATCAGAACAGGGAGAAGGACTGAGACTAAAGAAAACTGCATTGTTCGTTTCTGTTGGCTTTGGGGCCAAGCCCCGTTGTCCACTTTTTAGAACAAGCAGCCCAGTCAAACACCAGTGCTGCCGCATAGTGCTTCTCTGGCTCGGAGTCTCCCTTTGTTTAACTTCTCCCACTGAGCATCCCTGGCTCAAAAGTAAAACAGAGACACAGGCTCTCCCCCAGGAAACCTGGGCAAATCAGACTGTGTAGGAAGCCATTCCCAGGCCTCCACATAGCTGCCAACATAATCCTCCCTGCTGTTTGCTGGATAAGAGAAATGTAACAGAGCTCTAATTATATGGAAAGGGGCCTTAAAACAAGCATCTGATTTTCAAAGGATCACAGAATACCATGATTTTATTCAGTGAATTTACCTTATCAACCTAAATCTACTCTCATCTAGAACACGCTCGATTGTCTCATTTTAAAGATATTTCAACTGCTAAGCCCTCTTTCCTATTTAAAAAAAACAAATATGGGGCGCCTGGGTGGCTTCAGTTGGTTAAGCAACTGCCTTCGGCTCGGGTCATGATCCCAGGGTCCTGGGATCGAGCCCCACATCAGGCTCCCTGCTCCACGGGAAGCCTGTTTCTCCCTCTCCCACTCCCCCTGCTTGTGTTCCCTCTCTCACTGTGTCTCTCTCTGTCAAATAAATAAATAAAATCTTTAAAAAAAACAAAACAAAAACAAAAACAAAACAAAACAAAAAACCTTCAGTGGTGCCTGGCTGGCTCAGTTGGTTAAGTGTCTGACTCTTGATTTCTGCTCAGGTCATGATCTCAGGGTCATGAGATCGAACCTCCCCCTGCCCCAACAGGCTCTGCAACTCAGTAGGGAGTCTGCTTGAGACTCTCTCCCTCTGTCCCTCCCCCAACTCACATGCACATGTACTCACTCTCTCTCTCTCTCTCTCGAAAACAAATAAACCTTAAAAAAAAAAATAAATAACCTTCAAGGGTGCCCGGCTAGCTCAGTTGGTGGAGCATGTGACTCTTGATCTCTGGGTTGTGAGTTTAAACCCCACGATGGACGTAGAGATTACTTAAAAATAAATAAATAGGGGTGCCTGGGTGGTTCAGCTGGCTAAGCGGCCAGCACTTGATTTCAGCTCAGGTCATGATCTCAGCATCATAAGACTGAGCCCCACATCGGGCTCCATGCTCAGTATGGAGTCTTCTTGAGATTCTCTCTCTCTCTCCCTCTGCCTCTGCCCCTCCCCCTACTTGCATGTGCACTCTCTCAAAATAAGTGAAATCTTAAAAAAAAAATTAATTAAATTTTTAAAATAAATAAATAATATAAAAATAAAAATGACCTTCATTCCTTCATTCAACATTTAGTACCTCTTATATACCAGACATGATGTGGCCAGGATTCTTCTGCCCAAGGCAGGGGCAACTAGTTGTGATGGAGGTCAGGAGCTACTTATGTGTCTTAATAAACATACCCATTCAACTAAGGTGGAGAATACATGCCAATCCCTACCCTTCCTTTGCTCCATCTTTAGGCTCATTCTTCTGCTATTAACTATAGGGGTATTGGGATCAGTATGCCAGGCATTCTCCACCTTCATTTGTACTAAGCACTGTTTTTTTTTCTTAAACAATAAAACAAGTTTACAAAGAAGTCCAGAAAAAAATCTCTAGGCCTGCCCACACATTGTTAGAGTTGCTCAAAAAGTGACCCAGAGAGCACAACAGAAGCCACCTCTAAATATCCAAACAAATATGAATTACCTGAGAATAGAAGAAAACAAAAAATTTCAATTAAAAAACTGTGGATTTGGGGCACCTAGGTGGCTCAGCTGGTTAAGCACCTGACTTTTGATTTCAGGTCTGGTCATGATCTCATGGGTCATGAGATGGAGCCCCATGTAGGGCTCTGTGCTCAGTGGGGAGTCTGCCTGAAGATTCTCTCCCTCCGTCCCCCCCTGACTTGTGCTGTCTTTCTCTCTCTAAAATAAATAAGTCCTGAAAAAAAAAACAAATTGTGGATTTAGCAGGTATATAAAAACAGTATCAATTATTCCTTAAAAATGATTCAAACTCCTGCTTTTATAATTTATAATAGAAATTATAACTATTTATGAACTCAAATTTTTAAGAGAAGAGAAATGAAGGCTATTCCTACAAATAATCCAAACCCATACAGAGACTCACTCTGCTATGTTGAGATAGCCACAGGAAGCTGCTGCATGAAGGGGTGTCCAGCCCTCGTTGTCCTGCTGGTTTACATTGGCTCTGTTCTCCACCAGAAACTTCACCATGTCCAAATTTTCATCAATACAGGCCTGAAAAGAAAAGTCCAATCATTCACTCGACAAGTACTGACTGAGTTCTACTATGTGCCAGACACTGCTCTGGGCATTGACAATACAACCGTTGTAATGATACATTAATTTCTATTTCTTGCATACTGATAAGTGTCCAGAGAATGACTTCTAAGCTTTGTGATTTTATGCAAACCCCTGAATTGTCTGTATGTCTCAATATCTCAGCTGTGGGGGCACCTGGGTGGCTCAGTTGGTTGAGTGTCCAACTCTTGGTTTTGGCTCAGGTCATAGTCTCGAGGTCATGGGATCGAACCCCGCATCAGGCTCTGCGCTCAGTGGGGAGTCTGCTGGAGATTCTCTCTCTCCCTCTCCCCTCACTCATGTGTGCACATGCATGCACTCTCTAATAAATAATTAAGTTTTTTAAAACAAATCTCAACTGTGAAATAGGTATAATGATACTTAATTTTATTTATAGTACTATTAGGATTAATTGTGAAAGTGATTTCTAAAGTACTATAAATGGGTGAGCTGTTTTCATCATCATAATATAAAAGAGGGCCTGCTAGAAACCACTAATTTGCTTATGAATTTCTAAAGAAAACAATCACACAGAATCAAATGCAATTTTCTCAGTGGGAAGCTAAGAGTTGAAGATTCTAGGGTTGCCAAACCTTGCTTTGGTGAGAAAGGATGAGGTGATCACTTCAAACTGAAGAAATGCACTTCCTTTTCATGTGTTTTTTGAATGTCTCCAAACAATAGGGCAAAGTATGTTTGTAGTTTGGATGGTTAGGGATCCTTAACTGCCCATCTCACAGCAACAATTAGGAGAAAGCAGACGAGCTCTTTAAATAGAAACTTTAGGCTTACCATAAGCCTAAAAGAAACAGTAACAAATAGCAATGAGATCTGCAGACCAAAAGGCTGTCTTAACTTATCTATAGAATAAAAAGGAGGTAAAATGCCCACATTGATAAAGGCAATCATTATCAAGGCTTTGATTGTTCTAAAGCAGTTGGAATAATTCAGGACCTAGAAACAAATGAGACTCCTTTTTAAAAAAAACTGGTCTTTAAATCCTTTCCTTGGGGCCTGGGGGTGTGTGTGGTGGGAGTTAAAACTTCAGCTGAGAAGCTATTATCAGATCAAAATGATTTTCTATAACGATATTAAGACATTATTTGCCCTTTTCACTGTGTTGACATTTGCACCAAGGATACATAAGGTATTATGGGTAAAACTACTAGTGCCTTAATATGAATCAAGGCAGTAGCATCAAAGGATACTAGTACTCACTGTATTCTTCCCTACCACGTACTCGCAGTTTAAAACAAAACAAAACAGGGGCGCCTGGGTGGCTCAGTCAGTTAAGCGTCTGCCTTCGGCTCAGGTCATGATCCCAGGGTCCTGGGATCGAGCCCCCAGTCGGGCTCCCTGCTCAGCGGGAAGCCTGCTTCTCTCTCTCCCACTCCCCCTGCTTGTGTTCCCTCTCTCGCTGTGTCTGTCTGTCAAATAAACAAATAAATAAAAATCTTTAAAAAAACAAAACAGTTTCATTTAAGAATGACCTTAAGATTGGGGGTCCCTGGGTGGGGTGCCTGGGTGGCTCAGTCAGTTAAGCGTCTGCCTTTGGCTCAGGTCATGATCTCAAGGGTCCTGGGTTGGAGCGCCGCACAGGACTCCCTGCTCAGCGGTAGTCTGCTTCTCCCTCTCCCTTTGCCCCTCCCCCCTGCTCATGCTCTCTCTCTCTCTCTCTCTCTCACTTGCTCTCTCTCTCTCTCCCTCAAATAAATAAATGAAATCTTTGTGAGAGAGTCAGAGAGAGCGCGCGAGTGAGCACAAGCAGGGGGAGCACAAGCAGAGGGAAAAGCATGCTCCCTGCTGAGCAAGGAGCCTGATGCGAGACTCGATCTCAGGACCCTGGGATCATGACCTGAGCCGAAGGCACAAGCTTAACCAACTGAGCCACCCAGGCGTCCCATAAAATCTCAAAAAAAAAAAAATGACCTTGATGAAGCAGTAAAATATTAATTTTATTAAATCTCAATCCTTGGTTATAAGTCTTTTAAATACTATGAGTGATATAGGAGGTATACATAAAGCACTTCCGCTGTATCCCAAAGCATGATGGTTGTCTCCAAGAAAAAAGCACTTGTGCATCTATTGTGAGATGGACTACCCACTTTTTCATGGAATGCTATTTTTACTCAAAAGAACTGACATGCAAATTATGGTTTAAGACTTGAAAATGGGGCGCCTGGGTGGCTCAGTTGGTTAAGCGACTGCCTTTGGCTCAGGTCATCATCCTGGAGTCCCGGGATCGAGTCCCGCATCGGGCTCCCTGCTCAGTGGGGAGTCTGCTTCTCCCTCTGACCCTCTCCCTTCTCATGCTCTCTCTCTCTCTCATTCTCTCTCTCAAATAAATAAATAAAATCTTTAAAAAAAAAAAAAAAAGACTTGAAAATGACCAAGTGAGTCTGTCACTTCAAAGAAAATAACTAGTATTTGTTGCCAGTGACAAAATTTGACCATCCAAAAGAACTCGGAATTTTGGGAAACATACCACTACCGTGAACTTGACAGCTTCTTAATACTTTTCTGATGAGATCAGTGGGACTATCCACAAATGTATAAGTAAATGCATTAACATTTAGAAAATCTGCATAACTCAATGAACCCTTATTTTCCAAGTACTAATGAAATACATGGTATAGATAATCATGCATGGGTAAAAGATTCATTCAAAGTATAAGTTAGACCACTCAATTTTGATGTCACAAAGTAAGAAAAATCCACTGACATGTTTCAGATTCTGCACTGCAACTAATATTTAAGAAACTCCTACTTGTTGGACTTTTAGTATAATATTCAAGAAAAGTATCCACAGTTGTCTGCAGGCTATTAAAATACTCTTCCCTTTTCCAAATATATATATATATATATATATATATATAGGGCTTAAGGAGTACATATATTAGTCAGAGAACTTACAGGAACTTCCTCCAGAGATAAACCTCACATCAGTTCTGCCTAGAAGCAGAGGCATGCATGAACAAAGACTGATTCAATTTGGATGAAAATTTAATTAGGTAACCCTGGTTACAAAAAGCATCTTTGTTCATTTTTCTCAAACCATTTGATACTCTTTTTACAATTACTGAGATTAGCTAACATATCAGCCTAGATTTAATTTGCAATATAATATATTCTTCTAACTTGACCTTTGGAAGCCAGATGATTCTTATAGCCAAAATTCATAATGGTCTCTTTTTCAACAAGCAGCTCCAAAACTTACATTTCTTCTATGATGTTCTCTCAGGTTTATCAATTTCTACAAGCATTCCTCACTTACTCTATTTCTTTACCATGTAAAATATTTCATAACTATTATTATCACTAAATTTCAGATATATTGCATGTCTGCCAGTGTGCAATCCCCATAGGTAAGATTTGGCCAACTCATTGCAGAGTACCTTGCTAAAAACTGTTAATAAAGACTTTTTAGTGAAAGGATGGGACGGAATACTTTTTAAAAAGGTACTAAAGTCTAAGGAGAAGAAAGTGCTTTGCCCATGTAATAACAAACTCCTGTATCATGAAGATCAAATGTGCCATCTTAACCTGTGTTAAGCAGCTGGGTCAACTGCTTCCTGCTCGGTTACAAAATTGCTTTGGCTCAATAGTCTAAAAACTTTAGCTCCAATGGCCACGCACCCACCAGGCAGACCTTTGGGAGCCAAGGTTTTCAAGATCATTCTTTGTCCTTTGAAGATGAGAGCAGCCAAATCCCAGAGAGCCTAAAATAAGCCCAGTGAGTCCAGGTATCAAACGGGAGAAAATTTCTCTTTCTGTCCCTCTTACTTCTCTCCCTTCCTTTTCTTAATCTCCTTCACCCTATCACCACTTCAGTTCTTTTCCTTTTCAGTTTTATATTTTTGTCTATGAATCTCAAATTCTTGATATAGTATTTTCAGTATTTTTAGACATTGTGAGGATATTTGAGAACAAAAAACTAGCCTAATCTGCAATGTACTTTGGCAGATCATCAGTCTCCAAAGAATCATCTCAAAGAAAATAAAGTAGGTCAAGAGTTAAATTATTCCTCATACCCTCCACAAAGTGAAGGACACTATATTGCTAAAAACATCAACTTTGGGGGCGCCTGGGTGGCTCAGTCGTTAAGCGTCTGCCTTCTGATCAGATCATGATCCCAGGGTCCTGGGATCGAGTCCCGCATCGGGTTCCCTGCTCAGTGGAAAGCCTGCTTCTCCCTCTCCCACTCCCCTTGCTTGTGTTCCCTCTCTTGATGTCTCTCTGTCAAATAAATAAATAAAATCTTTTTTAAAAAAACAAAAAAAACATCAGCTTTGAAGTCAGACAAACCCGGGATTGCATACCAGCTCTGCCAATATGTAAAACCTGGAATGAAGTATGTAAACTGAGGATCAGTGTACTCATCCTTTTTTTTTTTTTTAAGATTTCATTTATTTATTTGAGAGAGAAGAGAGAGAGCATAAGCCAGGGGGAGACGCAGAGGGAGAAGGAGATGCAGACTCCCCGCTGAGCGGGGAGCCCAATGCGGGGGTTTGCTCCCAGGATCCTGGGATCATGACCTGAGTTGAAGGCAGACACTTAACCAAAGAGCCACCCAGGCGCCCTCAGTGCACTCATCTATAGCATGAGAATACAACCTACCTCATAGGATTTTGTGAGGATTAAAGGAGCTAAACCCTGGCATTGTTGTTGTTTTAAAGCCACCAGTTTAACAAATAGCAGCTTCCCCAGGAAAGAGCACAAATTGTACTAACTCTTCACCCATCACTGCCCTCCCTCACCTCCAGGATCTTATAGGAGGAAGGCAGTTTGGTTAAAAAAAATGTCTTTGAACTATAAAGATTTTAGAGCTTTTTATTAAGTCTGACTTCAAAAAATTTCCTCTCTAGTGTCCAGAATTCTGCAGGTTCCTAAATTCAGGAGCTTTGTGAATAAAATAGTATGTACCATGGTTAAGCTGA